GGGGAGGAGAGAGCCTCACAGAAGGTGGGGAGGAGAACTAGAGAGAAGCATCTAAACTGGATGTCAGTAGGGGAAGGTACCATTGAAAATTCTGAGAGGGGATCATTGGGTCCCCTCTATGTCATCATCCCCCATCTGCCCCAGTGGAGGCTGCAGCACATCAAGCAGCAGCAGTGGGCAGTTTTGTGCATCTGTTCTCTGGCTCTCACATTCCCTTGTGGGCTGAAGCCCAGGGCAGGTCTAAAGCAGGAAGATGTCCCTGTCCTTGTCCTTTCCCCTTCACCCCCAGGGGTCAAGAGTAAGCTAGGCCACCCTACCATCAGCTGCCTCTAGCACAACTGCCCGGCTTCATCTTATGAAAGACGCCTGGGCTCCAGGGCATAGCGGTATTGTGTTGAGGTGCTGTGGTGGGGTGTGGCTCTTTCCAGGACCAAAGAAGGCAGTAGCTGTCCTACTTGCTGGAGGCAGTGAGGATGCTTTTCTGTCTGCAGTCTGGATAGGAGTTTGCCTGCCAAGGATAGGTGTGGTGGGTTAGCTGGTAGTCATGGACATGGGGCTCATGGGCCACTTCTGTAGCTCAGTGTCCTAGTTAGTTTCAGTTGTCAACTTGACACCTTAGAAGGGCATCTCAATTAATAGACTCAGATCAGACTGGCTTATGAGCATATCTATGGAGCATATTCTTGATTGCTAATTGCTATAATAGAGCCTGGCCCAGGTGGGCTGCTCTGTTCTCTAGGTATGTTGTCTGGGTCTGTATAAGAAAGTTGGCTGAGCCCAGTGGTAGTGGCACATTCCCTTAATCATAGCACTTGTTGGGGCAGAGGCAGGGGGATCTCTGAGTTCAAGGCCAGCCTGGTCTACAGTTTGAGTTCCAGGACAGCCAGGGCTACACAGAGAAACTCAAAACACAAAAACAAGCAAGCAAGCAAACAAACAAACAAAAACCCAGCTGGGTGTGTACCTGTGAGCGAGCTGGCGAGCATCCTCATCCACGGTGCCTGTTATACGTCCAGCTGTGAGTTCTCTGTTTAGAGGTAATACTTCATGGAATAGAAGATAGATCTGCCTTCAGTTTCCTGTCTTGAACTCACTCAGTCATGGACTGTGACCTGGAAGTGTTCCTCCCTAATTTGTTTTTGTCAGAGTGCTTTATCAGAAATGGGAAGGAAACTTGAATACTCTGAGATCAGGGCCAGTGTGACCTCTTCTGAATAAAGCTCCTCATTTGTCAATGGGGAGTGACAGTCACGTGAGTGAATGGACACTCTGTGCCCTAGGGCACTAGGCAGACCTTAGGAAAAGCTTTCTGTCCCTCCTTTTCTATAGAAGTCAGGGTTTGGGACCGGGAGGAAAGGACCTTGTTGGCCACACTAGAGGCTACCTTACACAGCCATCCAGACAGACTCAGGCCTGTTTGAGGGTACTCTGAATTCCTTGCTCATTACTGGGGTTTTCAAACCCCTGATGGGATCAGGTATGTGAAGCTAAGCCTCCAGGGAGGCTGACCTTTGATGTATTCTGAGACTGGTTTTTGGTTCTGTCAGCGAGCACACCCACTTCAGCCCAAGTCTAGGCCAGCTTCCTCTCAGAGACAGAAACTTGAGATGGTGAAGGATCCTGTCCTCGATTACAAGACATCTACATCCTCCTTCTCTGGAAGGGCTCTGTCGATAGGAGGGCCACATCTACACCTCCTGCCCCTGCAACCTCCAGGTTCAGCCTGGGGTCCAGCTCAGAGGAAGGTTCATGCTCCACCTAATGAAAAGCAGGGATGCAGGACGTCCAGGATTGGGCAAGAAGGTCACAGCAGAACTGTGGGTGCAGGACCAGAGATGGCCCTGAGACTGTGGCCAAAAATAGGGCACCAACAGAGGCTCAGTGATCACGTAGTCTTGGGAAGATGTGATATCATCAGGAAAGCACAAGGCAAATCTGTGGTGCTGACGGGATGTGGGCACCACTGTGTAGCTGTCCTGTGCCAGAGCTGCATCTGCGGGTGTGTGACACAGTGGCCGGAACTTAGGAGGTCCTTGGTGGCTGTTGAGTGAGCAGGTTAATGGATGGACGCACGGATGGGAACGTGGATGGACGGATAGGTAGATGGATGACATGAGTGGGTGGAAAGACAGGTGATATGCAGGAATGATAGGTAGTCGGATGCATGTCATTAATAAATGGATGGGTGAAAGGATGGATGGACATATAAATAATGTGCATCGATGAATGGAGGGCATTCATGGCTGGGTGGGTTAATGGATGAGCACATGAATTGCATGGATGGATGGATGGCTGAGGAAATCAGTGAGAAGGAGCTGGCTATGTCACCCGTCGTAATCACAGAAATGTGTCTACTGTTCCCTTCCCTTCTTGGGTGCTCACTATTTACTGCTGAGTCTCTCTGAACTCCTCCTCCTGGCCCTGGGGCTTTACTACTGACTCCTGTGGTCTGATCCTGGCCTGTATCCAAAAGTGTCTGACTGCTGAGTCTTCTCAGTGCCACCCCACGTTTGTTCTTGAGTTCCTCGTCCTAAATGAGTCCTCTGCTGGCCCCTGGCCCCTGAAATTCTCTATCCTACTGTCCCTTTAGGGGATTTTATCTTGCATTCACCTTTCAGTGGCCCCAAGATTTGTTACTGAGCAGGTTGCTGACACCAGTTTGCCTGGAGGACAATGACCTCTCAGCATCGTATTGTTTATTTCATGCTCGATTTTCACCGAGAGAAAGCAAACCCGACAGGCTCCAGGCCACACAGCCAAAGCGAGGAAGAGTGCTATAGTTTTCCAGGCCCAGCTGTCTGTGTGGAATGCACTCTTGGCCCCTGTGCTCATGCAAGTTGGGGTACCTGCCCCTTTCCCTGTCTCCCCTCAAACTCCTAGCTGGTGGCAGAGGCGGACACTGAAACTAGCTCTGCTTTGCTCAGAGCCCCACAGTGCTGTTATCGGGGTATTCGGAGAGAGCAGTCATTGAATTGAGCTGGGAGGTCCCCTCCTTCCACACCTTGGGTGACTTGTCATGGCCACAGGGACTCAGCACTGCAGATCCATTAGGGCTGTGGGGCCCAGCGGGAAAGACAAAGATGCCATTGAGCAAACAGCTCACTCGGGGACCTTGGAAACCAGGCAGGTAGCATTTCTTCCTGGGATGGAGAGAAATCCAAAATAAGCCCAAGAGACTGTGCTGTTTTCCAAATGGCACCCAGGCCTTGTCCCTGCAGCTCACTGCCAGAAAGTTTCCCAGAAGATCCAGTCTTGTCCTTAACTGGAATATATCACATATTATATTCCAGTGTAGTGTAATACATTCAACTATAATCCTTGGTGGTAGTATCATGTGATAGGATGGACTCCAGGCACAGATAACGTGACACCCAGTACAGCCCTGGGTCACCTCTGCTTCTTGTGCCATCTGCAGTGTGACCTTTAAGATGCTAGACTATTCTGATACCTTCTCCTCCAGTCCTGAGCCCAGTAGGAGGAAGTCATTGGAACCTGGTAAGACACCGTAAAAGGCTTTGCCTCACCTGCTATCTATCGGACACCGAGCCTTACTCTCTTGGGTCATTGAATGGGGGTCGGCAGACATACTGTGATGGCTGCAGTGGGAGGCCATGAGCAGCTCCTTCACTCTGTGCTCAGCGAGTGGAAACACGCTCCCTCCTGGTCACTGTCATCAGTACGTTCTGGTTGGCTGGGAGGACCAGGCTGGCTCTTGCTGTTGCCAGGAGGGTGGATGCCCAATGTGCTCATGGCCTCTGCAAACTCTTCGCTTCTTCACTGCCCACATGTCTCAATAAGAGAGAAACGGAGCATGGTTCTGTGAGCTCGGCTGCTCTGTGAGCAGGTGTCTTCTGAGCAGCTGGAACGTGCCAGCGTCAGCTATCTGAGCCATCTAGGTTGTGGCTTGTACTTGTGGCGTTCATCAATGCATTTCACTTATTTGCCGTCTTTGGACGGACGCGTGGTGCTCCCGCGTCAGAGGCTATTGACAACACTGCTGTGAGAGTGTATGTATATGTATCGACCTGAGCGAGCCCCGCTCTACCTTTAGGGGTGTACTGATCTGGAGAAATTTGTTCAAGTGTTTGTCCTAGTTTCCAGGGCTGGAACTGCTAGTTTATGTGGTAATTCTGTGTTTAACTCGATGAAAAAGCAAGAATTGCATCTTAAAGAAATACTCCTTGGTACTGGAGACTGATGGAGACAGGGGCATGCCCTCTTGAATCTAGGACAGATGCATTTATGCTTTGTAACTGCAGTAGCTGCAAACACCAACCTGACAAGTGTGCAATAGGTATTTGGTGGTTGGATGAATGATTTGTGGGGTAGTTGGGTGAATGGATGGATGGATTGACAATTGAGTGGATTGTCGGATGGAAGGATTGATAAGTAGATGGGTGATGAGTTAGTGGATGGATGGATGGATAGATGGGCGGATGGATGGAAAGGAAGATAAATGGGTGGGTGGTTGAGTGGGGGAATGGGTGGAGGGATAATTAATGGCAGGGTAGATGAGTAGATAGGCGGGTGGGTAAGTGGATGGATGGATGATGAGTGGATGGGTAGGTGAATTAATGGATAGGTAGATAGATGAATGAATAGAAGGACAGATGAATGGATGGGTGTGTTGGATGGGTGGCAGAATGGATGGATAAAAAGGTAAGTGAATGAATGGATGGGTAAGTGAATAAATGGGTGCTTAGATAATGGATGCGTGGAAAGGTGGGTAAGTGCATAGGTAGCTAGGTAAATAGATGGTTGGGTAGATGGATGGGTGGGGGAACAGATTAATGGGGAGATGAATGGGTTCTCTGGGGTGGGCCAGCCTAGGTAGCTTTTCAGAGCAGCATCTGCTGGGGGGAAGTGTGTTCCTGAGGATATCTCCTCTCAGTCTTTCCTAGGCTGCTCTCTGGTCTAAGGCACCAAGCTGGGTCTCCTGGGTCTCCCGGGTCCCTATGGATCCGTGTGCTGCTTGCTCATGAGCTTTTGTCCTTTTGCAGGGTGACATCCAACAGTTGCTCTTCGTCTCCGACCACCGGGCTGCCTATGATTACTGTGAGCACTACAGTCCCGACTGCGATACTGCAGTCCCTGACACACCTCAGTCACAGGACCCCAACCCAGATGAATATGTGAGTCATCCCTGGCTGGGTTCCGGGTGGGAGCACAGGCAGCCCCCACGATGTTACAGAGTCACAGGATTGTGATTATAAAGGACTGTGGAAGCTGCAGGACCATGGCTAAACAAAGCGTAGGGAAGCAGTGTGTGATGTCTGATCCACTTAACATGCAGTAGCTACACCACCCCCTCCATGATGGAATCTCTCAAGGGAGTATCAGCAGCAGCAACTGTGTCTTTTAGCCCTCCATACACATCCCTAGATGGATGCAGGCAGGTGCCCTTTACCCTCAGGCTGTGGCCTCAGTTGCTCTTTAGAGTTCATTTCATTCACAGGGCATGCTCAGCCCTGTGGTATTGTGGTCGGTCCCCTGACTCCCACAGTAGCATCGACTTTGAAGGATGGCCATGTCTGTCCCCCTTGTCCTTCTCCCCATTTCCCACTCTGGTTGTTGGATCACTCTCCTCACCCCACTATGTCCTCATCTAGTAACACCTTATTCATTTTACTTGGAGTTCTTTCTAGTATTTTCCCTGCCTCCAGTTGGTCTTGTCTCTTGCTTCTCTGAGTGTCTCTGCATCTCTATCTGTACTTCTCCTTCCATCTCTGCTGGTCAGAGTAGGCAGGGCTTTCATGGAGCAGTGAGGTTCCCAGCCCAGGCCACACCCGACACATCCAGAGACTGTGTCCAGATGGAGGTCTGAGGCCAGCCCCCACCTGATTTGTAATTGAGGACAGAGTGCCTGCTTGTGACTATGTTGAGTCCCACTGGGTACCCATGCTTTTGGGCTGAAGGTCAAGTTTGGTGGCTGGTGGCTGTGGCTAACTGAAATCACACTTTGTCTTGGCTCTGATTCCTATGGGTCAGATGTAACCACTTTTAGGGCTCTGCTTTTGCTGACCTCTCAGGAGCGTGAGGGGGTGTCTATCCCCATTTTGGGCTTCTGGATCTTGCTCAGCCTCTCAGGGAGTGACTGTGGGAAGAGCCCTGTCAGGGGATGCTTTGGGACTGGGCAGTGCCTTATGACATCTGATTTTCCAGCTGAGCCAGGGCAAGGAGGTTGACAGGCTGCCTTGTAATATATCCATTTCCTTCTTCATACGGGCACCATTGACTTCAGTACCCAGAAGGCGATGGTGAGACCTATTACTACGAGTACCCATATTATGAAGACCCTGAAGACCCGGGGAAGGAGCCTGCCCCTACGCAGAAGCCAGTGGAAGCTGCCAGAGAAACCACGGAGATTCCTGAGGTCTGAGCTGGACTGGGACTGGGCTGGGGAGGTTCCTGGTCCTTCCAGGTCATGGAGTAGAGAGCTAGAGGCTATGAACATGGTGGTACATACCCTTGATCCTAGCTCTTAGGAAGCTGAGGCAGGACAATCATGAGTTCTAGACCAGCATGTGCTACGGGGTGAGACACCCTCCCCACTCCTCCTCCCCTGATACACACACCCACCCACCCACCCACCCACACACACACACACACACACACATGGAACCTTAAGCTGAGGTTGGACCTTTCCTGGTGTGTCTCTGGGTGATCCCGTATCTACCCATGCCACTCTTGGTACCTGGCGCCCATGCCCTGGCTGCCTCCCTCCTTATTTTCTCCCTTCTTCTTCTTCTTCACATCCACTCTCATACTAAGGGGATTTGTACTTGGAAAATGCTGGATCCAGGTACCCTGACTACCTCTTCCCATCCTCTACCCCCAGGAACAAACCCAGCCCCCGCCAGAAGCCCCTACAGTGCCCGAGACCAGTGACACAGCCGGCAAGGAGGATGATCCAGGGATTGGGGACTATGACTACGTGCCCACTGATGACTACTACACTCCCTCTCCCTATGAAGACCTTGGCTATGGCGAGGGTGTAGACAACCCTGACCAGCCCACCAACCCCGACTCAGGGGCCGAGATTCCCACCAGCACCATCGTTACCTCCAACACCTCCAATGTAATTGCCTTCCTTCCTTTATGTCTTGATCTAGGGCAGGGGTGGAAAAAGGGCAAACAAAGGCCGTGGCTCTGGGTCCCTGCTGAGCACCTGCTCCTTGGGTGGCCTTCATCACCCACACCCCCTATACCACCCATACCCTGGCTCCCAAGTCCTCTGTAGTGGGGTTGAGCATGTTTTGGGAGCCATTGGCTTCTCTGAGTTTATTTCAGTTCTTCCCCCCACAAAAGAGGTAGAATAGCTCTGTTGGGCTCTGAATTCTCATTCTCAGGGTGGCTCGGATAACACTATAGCTTTGGGCTACAGGAGTGCCATCCATGAACATCACAGAGTAATCCTCATGGGCACTGTGTTCTTCACTATTAAAAAGAACAATGGTTTCCAGTGTGCAAGCTGTAATCGTCAACTGAGTGCAGATCTCCCCAGGGATGGAGTGTGGCTGAGGAACACTGCTGCTTTCCCCTGTCTTCCTTCATGGGTGTCGGCTCTTAATGTTCTGTTTGGGGGCCACTGGTTGCTATGTGCTGGACTCAGTGCCCGCCAGGCAAAGTCTGCGTGTCGATTGGTCAGCCTCCCTGAGTGACTCTGCCACTTCTGTCCCTTCATCTGCAGCCAGCTCCGTCTCCAGGGGAAGACAAGGATGACCTGGGTGGTGAGTTCACTGAGGAAACCATCAAGAATCTAGAGGAAAACTACTATGACCCATACTTCGACCCCGACTCCGACTCTAACGTCTCCCCATCGGAGATAGGGCCAGGCATGCCGGCTAACCAGGACACCATCTATGAGGGGGTAAGAAACCCAAGCTCCTCTCTGCTCAGGGGCATCTGGACAGTGGGAAAGGGGCAGCTCTTCCAGAAACCTGGGTGTGGCAAGAGTGACCTAGGCTGTCATGCATCTTCATTCTCTTCTAATTAATTAGCTAATTAATTAATTTGAGACAGGATCTCACGTGTAGCTTGGCTGGCCTGAAACTCACTATGTAGACCAGACTGGCCTGATACTCATATAGATCCAGTTGGCTCTGCCTCACAAGCGCTGGGGCTAAAGGCATGCGCCACCATGCCTGGCTGAGCGCCATTCTTTAAAGTGGCCCCTCTGGCTGCCATCACGGTCGTTTGTGCCTCGTTACCTGACCGTGTTGGTAGAGGCATGGCTAGGCGTGGGCATGGGTGGTCCTCTTCAGCTTGATATCCTCCTGGGCGTAAGGGGAGGTGCCTAGCTACAGGAAGCGCCCTGGGTTTGCACAGGTTTTGTGTCACATGGGTTTTCTGTTCCCTTTCTCTCCCCCATTCTTCCTCTCTGGAATCTCACATCCCACCACCGCCCAGATTGGAGGACCTCGAGGTGAGAAAGGACAAAAGGGAGAGCCAGCCATCATTGAGCCGGTAAGGACATACATACATACATACATACATACATACATACATACATACATACATGGTGTCCCCTGCTAACTCATGATGATTTTTTAGGGTGTGACCAGACTGTGGATCCCTACTCTCTGTCCACCAGGTCACTCAAGAAGCCACCCCCCATTTACTCTACATCCTCTGTATCACAGATACTTGGGAGAGGCTCTGGGATGGGGGAATATTCGCTAGCTTGGTCAAGGTGCTGGGCAACGTGTGGAGTGTCTGTGTTTGGTGAGAAGGCAGAGGTCAGGGCACCTCTGTGGAGATTTCTTTGGAAGAAGGGATCCAGACCTTGAGAAGGAGGCTGGGCCAAGGGCTGGGTGGGAACTCCTAGTGTAAGTATCAAGGTGGGGGGATAAAAAGTTAAGGACTTCACCTCTCTGTGTCCTTTACACCTCCATTTGAGTCCATCTGCTGCCACCGTTGAAACAGGAAAGACCTGGCAAGTGAATGTAAGCAGCTTTGAGGCAGGATTCTCCCCATATCATTAAGCAATGGAATCCTGGGTAGGCAGTAGAGATGTGTGGTTGTGTACAGTCCATGCCCCCTCCTGGGTCAGAGAGCTTTGTGAGAACCTGGCCTTGGTGAAGACATCCTTGTCCTGCTGGGTGCTGTGGCCTACTTGGGTCTCAGAGCTGCTGAAGTCAGGACTTTGGCCCCAGAGAATAGAGAGCCATGTGACTGGCTAGACTGGGCTTGGTAGACATGGGAATGGGTTCAGAATTGGCTTTGCCCGGAGGAGCTGGCCACCGAGGTCACCATCCGAGCATATCCTGCGAGTATCCCAGTCCTTGTCCTTCATCCTGGCCATTGCAAGACTGGAGAGTTGTCAGTTCCACTGGCAGGACTCGACTCCCTGGGGCTGAGTTCATAACATGACCTTGGGGCTCCCTAGGAGAGAGAATCAGCCTCATAGCCCCCCCCCACCAGCTTTGTGCAGGGGAAGAGCCTTGCTTGGCAGTGCTTAGTAGGCCAGTGGACTAGGGCAAGCTCCCTGACTTGGCTTCTTTCCTGCCTAAGGGGAACCCTGGAAAAAAGCCTCTTGCTGGCTCCAAAGGCTCTGCCTGCTGTTCATGCCCCTGGCTCCCCCCTGGCAGTGAGCTTGAGGACACGTGTCTTCTTCCTAGATCCCTTCCCAGACCTCTCTGTGTATCCAAACAACAACCCTTATCTGAGGCTGTAGGTTCAGGACACAAAGGGAAAAGATGCAGAGCATGAGGTTAGCTCAACTCAGGGCCGCCCTGCTCAACCCCATGGGAAATCTCAACCCAAGTTCATGTTCATAGGAGGCTAGTCCTGAAGACAAGCATCTCAAGGGACCAAGGCAGACTTACCCCTGGACATGTGTCTGAGCTGTTCTACTCTGAGACAGAGGGAGGCTGCAGCACAGATGGCCTCTCTGCTATGTTGAGGGCACCACCTCAGCTGGGTTTGGCCCCAGGTGGATGTGGTCACCCATTGCAGGCCCTAATAGAGTCCCTGATGCTTCACTAACAGGGGAATCTTTCCTGAGTAAGGCAGTGAGATCCCAGAGAAGGGAGGTACCCAGGCTCTGTGGGCCTCAAGGTTGGTCTCCAGCTTCAGAAGTAGGTGGGTGGTACTTCTGAATAAGGCTCAGTTAAGCTTACTGTATGTGGAGTCAGCACCCCAGTTCTTCGAGTAGGAAAAGCATGGAGAGGGCTGTCCTGGAGGGGACGGGGGTGAGGGTGGGCCAGAGACAGCACTGAGAATGTAGAGGCGGTCCAGCGGACGCCCATCCTAGACTATCCAACTTCTCTTCTCTGGGAGCAGCACAAGCCATCTGGAGTCAGTTACAGAAGGCCCCGCCCCCGCCTGGTGCCTGCTTCTTCCCAGCTTCCTCAGAGTGTCCACAAGGCCTTTGGCTAGTCCCCACGGGGAGATGGTGTAAACATTTGGAATTGTCAACCTGGAGCGTCGCCAGATGTCCTCAGAGTCTTAGCTATACATAAACAGACGGAGGCCTTGGGGGCTGCTGGTGTATGCCCTGCCCCATGTGGGGGCGACCTGCTATCCTCTCTGTCCCACACCTACGCCACAGAGTGGGTTTACAGCAGCCACTGAGCGCAGTTTCAGTCCGTCCCCTGTATCCAGGAGGGACATGGCTGGCCTTTCATGCTTAGGTTTAGCTCTTCTAATTTGTCAGCACGACAAGGGGCTCCTTAGAAGGACAGATCTGATTTGGTGGAGCCAAGGCAGACCCAGTAATAGCCTTGGCACCAGCCCACAGTGGGCTCAGGGACCAGCAAGTGCTGGGTTGATGCCTCTCACCTGCTGGGTCCCATGTTGTCACCCACTCTGCCTTCCTGGTTTTTCATTGACTTTTTTTTCTGCGATTGTATCTCAAGGAGCCCAGGCTGGCCTTGAACTTGCTGAATAGCTGAGAATGACCTTGAGTTCCTGATTCTCCTTTCTCCGTCTTCTGAGTGTGGGATTGTGAGCCATACCCAGTTCCTACAATGCTGGAGTTCAAACCCAGGGCTTTGTGCATGCCAGGAAATCACTTTACCAAGTGAGCTCTGACCTCAGGCTCAATCATTGCTTCTAGTTTGTTCTGCTTAGCAGATGGGTAGCTCTCCATTAAGGATAGGTTTGGGTACTGGGAGTGACAGTATATACTTATGATACCAGCACCTGGGTGGTTGAGGCAGGAGGATCTGAGCTTTGGGCTAGCCTAGTCTACAGAGCAAGATCTTTTCTCACTGAAAAGTAAATAACTATCTTAAGTTTGGCCAAGTCCGAGATCTTTGTTTAGCCATATGTATTTAAGGTAACAAAACAGTGTGGCTTTTCATCATCATCATCATCATCATGTGTGTATAGGTACTTTTTGGTATGGATATGTGCAGTGTATGCCTCTGGGTGTGTGTACATACATGCAGAGGCCAGAGATAGATATCAATTGTTTTCCTCATTTGCTCTCCACTTTATTCTTTTTAAAGATTTATTTTTTTAACATGCCCTTGCCATCCTGAAGAGGGTTTCCCCGGAGGTAAGATGGTGGTGAGCTCAGCAATTGTCTAGACTGCAGGGATAGTGAGCTCCAGGGATCCACCTGTCTGCAGGCACAGGTGCATACAGCCATGCCTAGCTTTTGTGTGGATACAGGGGATCCAGACTTAGATTCGCATGCTTGCACACTTTATTGACCGAGCCATCTCTCCAGCCCTCAAGCATGATCCTTTGACATGCCCAATGTATGTATTCACAGTGAAGAGCTCAGCCTGCCACCCTGTGCCACGGCCTTTCTTTGTGTGAGCATGGGTCAGTGTGTGGCTGTGTCGGGGGTTATTGAGGGTAGCTGATAGGCCACTGGTGAGTAAGCCCAGCTACAGAGACCTTCTCCTGTAGTTCTGAGACCCAGTGCATTAGGAGATGGGTGAGGGGGTGAGGTGTGTCGTAGGTCCAGCTTGCCTCAGAAAGCCTTGGGACTGGGTCTGGTTCCTCTAGTCACATGCCTTCCTTTCCATTCTGACCCCGGGGGTGATCCGGGACTGGCCTCCTGTGAGATCCCACAGTGCTGCCCCCGCTCCACAGAACAACAGTGTGTGTGTCTGGAAAGACAGCTGCTGTCTCCTGGGCCCTGCCAGGGCCAGTGGTTCCCTTAATCTCTCCTCCACTTCTGAGTCCTCCCAGCTGCCTGTCAGGGGAAACGGGAAGTGGGAAGATGAGCCGCTTGGATGAGTTCTCTGTGTACATCGCACGCACAAATATTTCTCCTGGCCCATCTGTGTAAACATGGTGTATAGCTTCCCAGAGACCAGGCAACCTCATAGGCAGGGTGGATAAGGCTTTTGTATGTGTGTGGGGGTGGGGTACTTTGCAGCCCCTGGTCAGTTGTGCCTCACCCCCATCTCTTTAAGTCATGGTGACCGACACCTGCACTTGAATGGGTCTCTTCACTTGTCAGGTCAAAGCTCAGGTTTCACAAGAGAGCCGTGTGCTTTCAAAGACGTATCGGAGGCATGATGGTACCCATTATCTCAGCAGAATAGCCATCCCTATTTCCTTTGTCTGGGAAACTAGAAAGAGACCTGGCTCAAGGCCAAGGCCTCCTGACTGTCACTCCATTATTCCTGCAGTCTTGAGAACCAGCAGGGAGGCATATCTATGCATGTCTTACATGTGGCTAGCCTGTATAGCATGCAAGAGTCATGACAGGACCTGCAGCTACTTACCCAAAGCCTGTCCCAGAGTCTGGGCACTAGCCTACAGGCCTTGTGTGCAGATCCCAACCCCCAGTACAGATTCTTCTGAAGTGTTCTTGGGATTCAGAATGTTCTGGGTAGGTGGGTGGTGATCGGGAGACCAAGACGAGTCTGGGTGGTTTTTCTGAAGTGGGGGGGCACCCAGAAATTCAGATCCCAGAGCAGAAAAAAAACCATCTTTCAAGACAGGACCAATAGGCACCAGGAGGCCTTCTCCCCTTTGGGGGTTAGACACAAGTGAATGCTAGTGACACCTGGGTTGGAACCTGGGTTCAGGAATGATGGAAGAAGGCAGTTGTGAATCAGGTGACTTCAGCAGGGTGCTGGGCACTTGGGAGGAGGGGATGGGTGTGTCCTGACTACTCTCAGTCCACTTCGGAGCCTGGCCCTGGGGTCTGTTCTACCCCTTGGGTGGCTGGATACTCTTCAGGTAGATGGCAGAAGACAGGAGTAGTGTTTGGAGCCTTTTCTCTCATCCTGGTAAATTGCGGTGCTTTTATCAAAGTTGTGTTTGAGGGGAGCCTGTGGAACGCAAAGATGGTAGGAGAGTGTTCCCTACCACAGGCCACTGACCAGGAGCCCTGTAAGAGCTGGCTGACCTCTCGGTAGATGGTTGTAAATCTATGTTGTCCACCAGCTCGGCAGCTGGGCTGGGCTGGGCCTGGGATCTCAGAGGCTCCCTCTTCTCTTCCTCTCCGCAGGGCATGCTGATAGAGGGTCCCCCAGGCCCTGAAGGCCCTGCTGTGAGTATCTGGTTTTATTACCCTCTGACCTGTGGGCGGTACTGTTGGGGTGGGGGATGGGACTGCTGAGTAGAAAGTTGGATGCTTTCCCCTTTTGCAGATCCCTGGGTTTAGTTCTTCCCTGGCACCCACCATTCTGCTCTCACTTAACCGGAAGGGAGCTCTCGTTTAACCGGAAGGGAAGGTCTGCCCTGAGGCCATATCTGAAACCCTGTCTTGACTTTATTTTTAATTCCAGGGTCTCCCGGGACCGCCAGGAACTACGGGCCCTACCGGCCAAGTGGGTGACCCTGGAGAAAGGGTAAGAGGCCAGTTCAGTCCCAAGACCATATGCTCTGCGTGCTTGTCTGTGTTTTTTTCCTTCTGCCTTGTCTGGTCTCTTCCTCCTTGCTTCCTGCCCTGCCTTCTGCATTGTTTTTCAATGTAGAAATGACACTAAGAACATCCACTCCTTCCTCAAACTGCCTCTTTCCCCAGGGCCATGCAGTGTCACCCCCTGAGATCTTTATTGAGTTGACTGTCACCTGGAGTGTGCCAGGAGGGTAAAAACCAACCTGGGTCCACAGGCAGTCAACCCTCAGCAGTGGCCCTATGTGACAAGCTTGAAGGGCCCTGGTGCTTCTGTGACTTACCGGAGCAGCTACTGGCCTGGAGCCTACATTAGTTCTCACATTAGCCCCTTTTATTAGGAATCAAGCCACTGGCTGGGATGTTTGTTCTGGGGGGGGGGTGCGAGCCATGCTCTGGGCCATGAGCTCCTATGACACTTGGTGGTGGGTTGGAGTACTCCAGCCTTCCTCCCTTCTTCCCTTCCCCCCTTCCTTCTGCCCTTCCTTCCTCCCTCCCTCCCTCCCTTCCTCCCTTCCTCCCTCCCTCCCTCCCTTCCTTCCCTCTCTCTGTTCCCCTCCCTCCCTCACTCCCTCCTTCCCCTCCCTCCCCTTCCCTACCTCCCTTTTCTCCTTTTTTGCCTGCCCATCTAATGAATGTCATCACTAATAGCCAGACAGCCAAGTTGTAAACGAGGATGTATGTGTGTTAAGGACAGGCATTTGTCCCTGAAGCTGATTCTTGGCCCAGCACAGTAAGGTGTCTAAGAAGGAGGTAGGAAGGCAGATGATGGTGTGTTCTCATGGAAGGGTGTCATGTAGCATGTTCTGCTGGCTATGGCCTCTTCAAGGCGGTGGCTGGGGAGATCATGGTGGTTTAGGCAATTCTGGATAAATGGTATAGTTAGGTACCTGTGGATATAGGGAAGATTGGGGGCAGTCCTGGGTGGTAAGGGTGGGTGTCTCTGCTGGCTGGGTTCAGTTTGGGGGTCTGTGTTCACTTCGTAAGGCAACCTGATCTCTGTCACAGCCTCTGCCCCTATAAGCCAGGACTTGAAGGATGTCCCTGAACATACTTAAAATTGCTGAAGGCAGCTTTGTGCTCTCACGGGTTCCTTCTGTTCACACCTTACTCGGGGTCTGTCCAAATGAGTAGGTGCTCTATCCCGTCCTCCAGTCCCTGATCACATGCAGATCTGAGGCCTGGAGCAAGGAAGGCTCCTCGGTCATAGCCAGGAAAGCGCGGGGCTGCAGTTCTCGGGCCCCATCCTGCGTGGAGACAGTGGGAGCTGTCTGGAGTGGCGCTGGCCCCCGCCTTTCTCCAAGCCTGATGCTCAGTCTTCAGTCTTTCCTCTCTGAATTCCTTACTCCCCACAGCCCTGTCACGTTACTTCTTTCTCTGGGTTTCCTGAACGTCTCCTGTTATGTGCTGCCCTGTGCTTACCTAGCCTCTTCCCTGGCCTCGAACTCTCACAGCTGCTCGGCCCTTCCCTTTTGTCTCTCTGACCACTTTTCCTCCCTCTCTGTCTGCAGGGTCCCCCTGGGCGCCCAGGTCTTCCTGGGGCTGATGGCTTGCCTGGTCCTCCAGGAACCATGCTCATGCTGCCGGTGAGTGCCTTGAACTGGGGCTCAGGGGGTTGCAGTGGGTAGGTCCTGGAAGGGGTAGGTGTGCAAGGATCTGTAGTGGCCCAGGAATAGGGTTTGGGGGGGTGGTCTTTGCAGCTGCTACAGGTCCACATGGCTCAGCCTGTCATGGGTACCAGGAGGAGCAAGGAAGGTCCCACTCTCTGGGTGGGATTCCGGGGAACCCTGTGGCAAGGCTCTCTGTGATACGGGACAGACTCCCGGCTCCCTGAAGAATCCACCAGTGATCGTGGGTGGGAGAGAAACGAGGGCTTCACTAGAAGCCGTTTCTGTGGTTAAGTATCTTCTTCTGTGGCTGTCGTGGTTTATTCTAGAAACTTCTAGATGCTGCCTTCTACTGGAGTTGATATTTAACCCTAAGTAATAAGAACGAAGCCCAGGCTCATATTCTCTGTGTCTATGGCAGTGAATGACGGTCCCTCAGGCCTGCTGTTCATAGATGAAAGACTTGGAGCTCAGGGTAGCTGAAGGTCAACCTGGCCTCAGGTTAGAGACCCAGACGTTTCCTGGACATCTATGTCCTGGTGGCCAGCACCCAGCCACTGCTGCTGGCATTATGGTGTCTGCAGTCACAGGAGACCATGAAGGGAGGAGTGCATGCCTTGAACTCCTGTCTGTCTTCTGGAGAACAGCTGGGGCCCTTGCAGAAGTGACCTCAGGGTGGAGGGTTCTAGGTAGGTCAGGCCTAACAAACTTGGGAGTGCAAAGGACTTAGAACCAGGCACAGGCAGGCAGGGCTGGACCAGCCCCCCCCAGCCACCTTATTCTTGGCTATTTTACTTACCCCTCATCTCCTTCACTGTGCCCAGGCACTGTGTCCTCAGGTCTATATTCAGTACTGTCCTCCCAGGAGTGTGCTCCAAGGACTGTGCTCCCAGGAGTGTGCTCCCAGGACTGTGCTCCCCAGCACTGTGCTCCCAGGATTGTGCCCCCAGCCCTGTGCTCCCCAGCACTGTGCCCCCAGCCCTGTGCTCCTAGGACTGTGCTCCCAGGACTGTGCTCTCAGCCCTGTTCTTTAAGTACAGCCTTCCTGGGACAGTTGGTGTGAAGTTGGCAGGTTCACCTCCCAAGGACAGATGTTAGAGAACACGGCATGTGTTGCCATTGTTCTTGCCCTAAGTTCTCAGAGCACGAACACCAACTGCACTTTACTCCCAAGATGCATGTCACACTGAGGGAGACCCAACACAGAACCAGGGTGCCCCTCGCAGGTCCCTTGGGCCTAGCCCTGTTTCTTTGGCCCCCGGCTACTCTTTGCAGGGGTGAGGGTCTGTGGTTCCTCGGGGTGCAAAGCAGTAGAAGCCCAAAGTCCTTTGTGGGCACAGGCCAGGTTTCAGGTGTCCAGGCTGACAGGAGGGGCTGTGATGGCTGTGGATTAGGGCCCATGCACACAGCTCCTGGGATTGGCAGTCTCTGCGTACTTAAGGCCCATAAGACCCACTTCGTGCCGGGTCAGAGTGGGTGCCATGTTCCATCCCTGGTGACCCTTCACCTTGCTCTCACAGTTCCGGTTTGGAGGCGGTGGTGATGCTGGCTCTAAGGGCCCCATGGTCTCTGCCCAGGAGTCCCAGGCCCAGGCTATCCTCCAGCAAGCCAGGGTGAGTAATGAGGATGCTTGGGGTTCTGTGTGATAGGGCCTGACCCCCGTAGCTCCAGAGACTGAATGATTGTCTCACAGTTTGCCTGGGCAGGAGCATAGGGAGGGTTGGGTCCTCCATGTACAGCTGGAGAATGTAGGGAGCTTAAGGAGAGTTTTCAGGGGTGCCCTGTCCACAGTGAGAGGTGAGAGGCCTCTGGACCCTTCTTCTGCCGCGTGCAGATACTTACCTCCATGCTAGGCCTTGCACTTGGGGCTAGCCATGGGGAAAGGAACTCTCAGGGCTCCAGGTGGGTTGACCCAGTCTCCCAGGGCTGGGGCTGGGCAAGGACACATCCTAGGAAGCGCTTGTGGACCCAGGATCCCTCACTGTGGGCCCAGAATCTTTCATGGATCCCCAAGGCTCTTGCACTGGGTCCAGGAACACTAGGTCTGGGTCCAGGGTCCTCTCCTTCCTGAGTGAGAACGTCAGTAGATGGCATCACTAGAGAATGTGGCTTCAGATTGCTTGTTGCTAGTGACGGCCCGGTGGGGTGGGTAGGTGGATTGTCCTCTGGTGAAGTGTGGATAAAGCCAACATAGAACCCCTTGTCTGGGTTATACTGACACCACTCTGTGCAGTACAGAAGAGACGTTAATGGCCAGAATGCACTGGGGTACCTGAAGGACAGTTTCAGTGTTGTGTCGTTGCCATGGAATAGGCTAGCCAGTGATAAATCCAATTCAGATGAGACTCTCTCTGAGATTAGGTTTGTGACATGTACCTGCCCGGCCGGCCTCTTCCTCTGTGTGCATTTTATCAAGGTCACTGACAGAGGGCTTGTGTGATTTTTGTTTTAAGATTTATGTATTTTCATTTTCTGTGAGTGTTTTGCCTGCTTGTGCCCACAGAGGCCAGGAGAGGACATCAGATCCTTTGGAACTGTAGTTACAGATGGTTGTGAGCCACCATGTGGGTGATGGAAATTGAGCTTGGGTCCTCTGGAAAAAATGCTCTTAACCCCTAAGCCATGTCTCCAGGCTTGATTTTTTTAAAAAATATTTTAATATTGTATATTTTCTTTGTAAATTTAAAATCATTTAATACTGTATATTTTTATTGTGTGTGTATGGGTGTATTTGCACATATGTGTCTGTATGTGGAGGCCTGGGGTGAATGTCAGGTGTTTTCTTGTATCTGTCTCTATCTTTATTTTGAGACAAGGTCTCTCACTTACTAAGCTGGCTGGCCAGGAGCTCCTAGAATCCAGCTGTTTTTGCCTTCCAGCACTGGGAATAGAGGCAGGTGCTGGTACCTTTGGCCTTCTACCCATGTGCTGGGAATCCTAACTCAGATTCTCATGTCTGTGTGGCAGGCAGTTTAGCGTCTCTCTAGCCCCCAGACAGTTTTAAAATGAAAAATAAGCTTCCAAACTTAAGATGGCATTGTGGTGGGGGTTGAAATCCTGCAACAGAGCAGTTCTTCAGGAAGAGAAGTTGAGCCACACCAAGTTGGGGGCCAGTGTGTGAGCAAGAGCCCAGGGCTCACAGTTTCTCCCGCACCCGGCACACACCTCCGTCATTGCTGGAGAGTACCTAGTGCCTCTCAGGAAATGAAACAGTCCAAATCCACAGGGGAAATGTACACCTCAGCCCAGCCCAGGGAGGGAGACTACAGTTCAGAATTGGTACAATGGGAGTCCACAAGCAGGGACTCTCCAACAGGGTTGGAGAGAGGAAGGCATTGGGAACCCTGCGCATAGTGGGACAGCAGGTAGCACTGACTTCTACTTCTGTGCCCTGCTCCCCGTGGAGATGCTGCGAGCACAGAACAGAGTGGGCCAGACTTCTGTGAAGCTCCAGTCTTTCCTGTCCTGGGCCCCTTTTCCTGCTGGCCGCATGTCACAGATCAGGAGCCAGAAAACCAGGGCGGCTCCATCCACAGCCTTTTTCTGATCTCCTCCCCTTTCCTTTGCAGTTGGCACTGAGGGGACCAGCTGGTCCAATGGGTCTTACCGGAAGACCCGGCCCCATGGTGAGTGATTGGCAGGTCTGGGGCCAGTTGGGGGAGAACATTGGATGGGCCTCTGCCCAGCACCTTTGTTCCCAATTGGGAACCTGCTCAGATAGGTGCCATCCCATTGTGGGAGCACATGTCAGGGGGATGGCTGTGTTCAAGGTCACTTGGAATATTGGGGGATTCCTGGGAAATGACCTTCAGTTTAAGCATAATGGGAGGATGGGGGTGCTCCCTCCCTCCCTCTGCATTTGAGCTCCAAGCTCTCCCTGTAAAGTACACACTCTAGGCTTCTCTCACTTTCCTCTATCACATGGTACACAGAAGGTGAGTGTGTGGGGGGGGGCGTGGATGCTGTGCTAGGGGCCTGGAGATGTCCTCAGAGACTGAGCCCATACAGCGATACTGGCTGCACCTTTAGCCCATAAGGGATCGGCTTTTCTGTCTTTCTGGGGTCTTCTTCCTTACCATTCTGTTCCAGGGTTAGAGGTAACAACCCCAGCATGGGGCAAACCACCTGCTTGGTCTAGGTGGTTCAGTGCAGCTCTGCTCTGGGACCTCACATTGTAGCATGGATGTCATGTATCCAGGGACACTCAGCAGTCATCCAGTGTCAAATACATGCTCTGGGGACTTGGAGTGGGACCTCACAAGGACACAGCCACCCTTCTGCCCTCCAGAGCCGAGGACTGAACCCTTGCACTTGCTAGACAAGCACTCTGCCACTGAGCTAAATGCCCAATACCAAGGATACAGCATTCTTACACCATTGAGGCCCTGGCTGACTGCCGTATGCTGCCTCCCTGCACCTAGGAGGTGAAGCCAGTCTCCCAGGAGGTCTTATCTTGAGCTGGACCATAGGCTATGCAGTGTGCTTTGAGCTGGGAACTGTCACAAACCACAGGCCAATTTGTCCTCTCAGGATTTCATGTACTCTGTGAGCTCCATCTCCTGGGGTTCAGTGAAGAACCAGGAAGAGACCCTGGCAGCTACAGGTCACCGTGTCTCCCAGAAGACATGCTTTCCCCTTTGTCACAGTAGGCAGGCCAGCCTTGTGATGAGGGGCTCCCTGCCTGCTCCACACATGCCTGTGCAGCCTTACTGTCCCCTGTGTCACTTGTCTGAGTACACACTAATCCTGTACTGTCTCCTTAGGGTCCTCCTGGGAGTGGAGGCTTGAAGGGTGAGCCAGGGGACATGGGACCTCAGGTACGTGTAAACCTACCTCTGCTTTGCTCTCAGGAGGGTGGCTCCTGGTTGCTAGTGGTAACCCAATTCTTCAGCAAAATTAAGGAAGAATTGTCCTTTGATACTGCAGAACAAGATCTCTGTACTATCTGTCATTAGCCCTCTCTTAATGCAGGAGCTCTGTGTCTTGTCCCAGAGATGGCCACATGTGGCCAACTGGCACAGCAAGCCTTGGGATGGGTTGACAAGCATGGGGATGAACGTTATCTTTCCTTGGAAGAGGGACGTGTCCTGATGCTTTGTCTTCTGACTTCTGGCAGGGCCCACGAGGTGTGCAAGGTCCACCTGGCCCAACAGGGAAGCCTGGAAGACGGGTAAGTTCTAGGTGCTATGAGTATGTGGTATGGGGGCAACCTCTGTGCCCAGACCTGAGGTAGACTGTCCCCTTCAGTGCCTCATTGTCCCATGCCCACCTCCAAGGCTGTGACTGAGCTGCTGCTTAGGAACGGATGCTGTGTCCATGGGTGAAATAATTCACCTCTCCCTAAAGTCATCTCCCAGACAGGTCACAGTAGGACTTAGATCCACATTGCTGATGGTTGACAGTAGGCCTTGTCTTTGGGGACACTCATGCCTCCTCTCTAGAAATGACTGTCTCGGCTCTCTCTCAGGCCTTCCTTCAGCCCTCTAGCCTCCTGGGATTTCCTGTTGAGAATGGTGTCCTCCTGGATGGATCCGGCCGGTTTCCCCAGGAACACAGCTGCTACAAGATGCCACACTATTAAAAAGTGATGACCACACTCCAGGAAGGCTAGAAAAGTCTTAATTAACCCATCTTGTTGCCACAAACAGACCTTCTCATGGTTACATATGGAGACCAAAGCTACCACTGTCCACATGGCCTCCATGCCTGACCGTGAGCCCACAGGCAACACCCCAACCCATGACCAGTCTTCTATAGAAGATGGGAAAGGAGAGACTGGGGCTTGGCAGGGAGTCCCTGTTCTCTTGTGTCTCTCCTGTGGTGACTGTAGCTTTTATATCAGACTCCAAAGGTTCCTTCCTGCTTGGCCCTCAGTCCCATGGCAATCAGCTGGACACCTGGACTTGCTCTAGAGTATTTTCATGGCTTGGAAGCAAGTGTGAGAATAGACAAGATGGGTGACCAGTCACAGTGCAGACCCTGCCTCTAGGTCACTGTGTTGTCTGAGTGGGACACACATCCTCTGGACCTCTCATACTCAGATGGACTGAGAGAGGCCTTTATCATTTCCACAGATCTTTGGGCTTTAATTTTCTTCCCAGTAGTAGCAAAGAGCTGAGCTTCCTATGATTGTCATTAACATGTCACTGGAGCCACAAAAGTGAGCTCCCTACACTGAGTCATTCAAATCCCATCACCCTCCCCAAGCCTAGAAGGACAGGCAACATCAGGCTCCTAGTGAGACAAACACCATTTTCTTACTTGTTGGCCAATGGTGTGGCATTGCCTTGGGCTGTTGGATCTGGGTCCCCAGTCCAGTCTGATGACACTGGACAATTGCCCTTGGCTGGAGTGCTTTCCATGATCTCCTCCCTCAGCTTGACTTTCTGGGAAGCTGCTCCCAGAGGATGTGGTAGGCTGCCTTTTCTTCCATACAGACTGATTGTCTCCTCTGTCTAGGGCCGTGCTGGGAGTGATGGAGCCAGAGGCATGCCTGGACAAACAGGTCCCAAGGTAGGCTGTTGTCCACACCTCCTCATCTCAGGAGACCACATTCACCATCATCCTGATGTCATGTTGATGACATAGTCATCATGTTTGATGAGTGTGATATAGGGAGTGCTGACTCACTTGGATGACCGTGTGTGTTGTGAAGACAGATTGACAGGTGAATTGCATAGGCAAAAATCAGTTTCCTTAAAGGGGCAGATGCCCTCTATAATGGGCACTGAGTGAGGTGGGGTGGCTCCAGTTGGGAGAACCCCTTGGAAGTGTGCAGGTAAGCAGGCCACACCCTTGGGGGTATGACTGGTCAGATGATCCCAAGTCTTTGGGATATAAATAAATATTCCTGCACTGCCTTGGAAAGTCAGGACCTGGGCCTTGTGGGGTTGAGTAGACACATCTGTGGTGAGCAGAGGCTCCTGTGCACACATAGGACTTGTATAGACATGTGACAGCTGTTCCCCCCCCCCCGATGCTGTGGATCCTGGGTTCATTCCTCTTCCCATGACCCTGCATGGACTTTCTCCACCATGCCTGGGTCACCAGGAACTGTCACTGTTCAGCACATCTGTGCTGGGTCCCCTGGTTCCAAAGTCCTGAATGCTTCCTGTGAACCCTAAGTTAATGAACACTGAAGGCTGGGGATGACAGGAGGATGAGGATCTTTTACCTACAAAGTCATGAAAAGTCTCAAATACCATCCTCTTGATTTTATCCTTCCTGGTTTACACACCCACAAGATGGGATGCTGATACTGGTCTCCATGAGGTTGGGAGGCAGGTGCTACAGCCTTCACCAGTGAGTGTGAGCACCGGTGTGTGACAGCCCTCAGGACACAAGGCTGCAGCCACCAAAACAGATAGGACCACTCATGCAGGGGGAGACTCAGAGCAGATGAGCACATGCTGACTTTGCAGTGGCCACTGATAAACTGCATGTCTCCACTCCCAATGATGCCCTGGCCTTTGGCATGGGGAAAAGTGTTCCTCCCTTCCGAACCTCTGCCTTGCTGGGAGAGAGAAGGTGGCACATGCAGACTCCACAGTGGCCTGGGACAGGGGACCTGTGTAGGGCCATGAGAGGGTCCTGGGTACAGGGTGCTGAGTTAAGGATTCTACCACCAGGTCCTGATGTGTATGGGTGTTTGATGAAGCTCTCTTGTCCTTGCAGGGTGAGCGTGGCTTTGATGGCCTCGCTGGGCTGCCAGGAGAGAAGGGCCACAGGGTGAGTATTTGCTGTGGGATTCAGGGAGGGTCCTTTCTTTCCAACAGTCTCAGTCTCCTTAAAAGGGGCCAGGTTCCCCCATTTCACAGCATCCTCATGTAAGGCACTGTGGCTGCTCATAGACTTGACCCCCAGAATGAAGTCTTGGTTGATGGAGATCCAGCCCAGAGAAGTTGGATTTCCTACTGAAAGTTATAAGCAGGCCCAGCAGGTGCCTCACCCCAAGGCATCGTGGGGGACGGGGAAGTGAGGGAATGTGTGTATTAGAACTAGTTTTAGAACCTTCTTGAGCCCACTCTCTGCCTAAGGGAGGCTTCACATGCATGGGAAATCCAAGCAACTATCACATGCACTCTGCAGAGTTAGGACATAAGGCTGTGGCCCTGGGAGAGTGGGGCAGTCTCAAGAGCCAGCTGCTAAGGAGGGCTGGAGTTGGCCACCATGGTGCCTTCCTGTCTTTTTTTCCCCTCTCTGGGAGTGGAGCCTCTCTGAACTGCCTTACCTTGAAGTGGGTTTGTTGGTAAATTTAGCATTGTTTAGGACAACCTACTCTGCAGTGGTTAACCTTGACTCTGGTTGACTCACTAGGGTGACCCTGGTCCTTCTGGCCCGCCTGGACTCCCAGGAGATGATGGAGAAAGGGTATGTATCTCAGCATCCTCTTCTCTAAGTTTATTCTGGAAAACTGTAAGTGTGGGCCCGACAGGGTTGGTGAGAGTGCTGGGGGAAGGTTGGGGTGGTGCTGGGGAGGGTCACGCTGGCACCGGGAGGGGACCGGGTGAAGCAAGGCCCAAGCATTCATTTTACCTCATCCTTCTTGCCTATGAGGGTCAAACTGTCATGGGTCTCAGAAGCGGAGCTTCTAACTACAGGAGGCAGGTGTCCTGGATCCTGTGAAGGGGAGATGCCAGGGGCTTAATGAGCTTAGCAGCTCTGCTGAGTTCACCTAAATGAGCTGTCAGATAGAGAAGCAAGGGCTTGAGGAGATCAGGGGTGGAGGGCCAAGGGAAGTCATTATCCCTGGCCCCAGAGATAGGGAAGGGCGAAGCAATGGAATATAGGAGTAGAGGAGGAGGGGAGGGCTGGTGCTGGCTTCTTAGCCTGGGCTCTGTACCCAGGGGGCTCCTCAGTGCCTGTCCCAAGTATCTTTGAGGGGCTGGAGGTTAAGCTCATACTCGGGCCACAGCACAGATGTGCATGGCAGAGGATGAGCGATAGGGTTTATGGGCTCCTTGCACTGTTGTTGGGAGGCTCGAGAACCTCAGGAAAGTGCTTCCAAGCCTCACAGTTCCCCTACGGCAGCTGCACCCTTGCAGCTCCAGAGTGAGGACAGGGGCCTCTCCTATGGAAACAGCATTAGCAAGTTACCATCTGCCTGATCAGAGTAGGCAAATCCTGCTGTGCGCTACTGGGAGATGGCCTCTGGATATCCAGGCCTCAAAGCTTGTCCCTAAACATCCTCTTCTCTCTCCTCCATAGGGTGACGATGGAGAAGTTGGGCCTAGGGGTTTGCCTGGGGAGCCTGTAAGTATCTGATGGGGGGGGGGCGGGGAATCTGGTCTTCAGCTCCACATTCAGGATTTGATGGATGTGGAGTAGATTGGAGAGCTTGGTCTGGGGAGGGAGGCGAGTGACATTTGCCCAGGGAAGAAAAGAGAGGGAATGTATACTGACCCTTTCTATAGGAGGAAGCTGGGCCCTGGAGAGCTGTAGAAAATGCCCAGGGGCATCGTAGTTCCAGGGGAATTATGCTAGGCGTCCAAGTGCATCATGGAGGACATTCAGGGGTTCTGTGGTGGATACCCAAGGGTGTCAGAGTAGACAGGAAGACACTATGATGGGTGTTGTGCAAGAATCATAGCAGGCACCTAAGTAACATGATGGGCATTGAGGACATTGTTGTAGGTGTCCAGGGTGCCATGGCAGACATCTAATGAGCAGCTATAATGGGTGTTGGGACAGTCGAGGGGACTAAATAGACCCAAACTTGTCCCAGGCCTGGCAACTGCACCCTCCAGGGTGGTGCCCGGCACAGTGCAGGAAAAGCTCCCTTCAGCCAGCCAACTTGTATTTAGGCTTAAAGCAGATTTCCAAGAGGGTAAAAGGACATTAATTACCTTTCATTTACTGACGCTCAGAAACCTACCTTCGTTATCCGAGTCAGGTGGCCGTCTGCATCTGTTGGAGCTAATTGATGAGCTACGCCGTAAACGCCGCACAGGGCAGAGCGCGGGGTCGGCACGCTCAGGTTCATTTGGGATGAAATTATACCCTCGATGTCTGATTAGCCACTGAGGAGGATCCATCAGCGCCGCTCTCCTTAACACACATCTAAGCGGTGCCTTCTGGGTTATTAGCGTCTCAAACACATTTATAAGACTAAGTGTTAAAATAACGAAGGAAGCGGTTAGGACACAGAGATTGTGAGGCAAGGTTGCTGCATTTTTTTCCCATCTAAAAAGGTTCTGTCAGAATCAAGGGCACTTGAGATCCAAGTGCCTTGGGTGAAGCCTGTAATTCCCAAGGTGGGCAAATCCCCTACAACCCCATATCTGCTCCAGACTTCAGTGGTGCCTCAGACCAGGCCCTCTGTGTAGGCTGCAGGCATTGTGCAAATCCCTCAATGCCCAGGGGAGGGGAGGTTAGCTTGTGGCTCTCCCACATAGCTGTCCCCAACAAGGCCCTGAAGATCCTTGCAGGCCTTTTATCTCCTGACCCTGTCCCCTGGTCCCTTGAGCTCTGTTGGCATTGCATGCCATGGGGAGAGAGACTGAGACTGAAGCAACACTCGTTGATAAACACTGGATCCAGCAGATGGATGTGATTCCATGAGTTTTCTGTGGAGGGATTTTCGTGCCCCTGAGTGTCGGGGCAGGCGAGAGAGGCCCCTTCCCTGAGGGCATTCCTGATGCCCAGCTGAGTCCCTCTATTCCAGGGACCCCCTGCTTCTGATTCCTAGTGTCCAGGTAGAGAGGAGGATGGGCTAAGTGGGGCATGATGGCTTTTCTCTCAGACTTCTGGACTCACCGGCTAAGCTCCGGTGGGGTGCAGGGTACTGGACATGATGTGCAGGGAGACAAGCAGCGCAGGCCCCCAGCTGGGTTTCACATTTCCTTGTCCTTTCTTCTTGCAGGGACCACGTGGTCTGCTTGGGCCAAAAGGGCCTCCTGGCCCTCCAGGACCTCCAGTAAGTTCCGTCACCTCTTGGCGAATGTGTCCACATTGTAGCTGCAGAAACCATCTGACCTAGCTAGGGGCACTAGGGCCAGAGGCCATGCTGACCATGGTGTGAGGCTGTAGGTATGGGGGGGCTGTGGGTCCTTCATACTCATACATGAAGAACCAGAAAATGGGTAGGGTTGAGGCAGCTATCCTTGAGCAGGTCTTCTAGACTTTACACCTCCTTTCAGGCATACAACGCTCACTGGCTTTTTTTCCCTCTGTAATAAGCAATATTAGGATGCCACATTGTACCTCTACTTCAGAGGCCTTCCGGCATCTTTGTTGGGAGTTCTAGAAGGAGGCAGAGGTTCATGGTTCTGACTAGGACTGTGTTTTGGTGGGTAAGACTTGCCCTAGTCTCTCCAGTCCCTCTGAGAGATTTTTCTAGAGCTCAGGGTCTGCTCATATGAGAATGCTGGAGCCCAATGCCTCATCTAGCCTATGGTGAAGTGTCAGTAGCCCTAGCTGTGAGGAATGGAGGGTCAAGTCTGCCATTTCCCCAGAGAATGCACCACCTGTAGTCACTTCAGGCTCATGTCCGAGCATGTGGAGTGGGGTTGCTCATTCTGTGTTGAAAACATCTCTTTGTCACTCTCCTGCAGGGTGTAACTGGTATGGATGGCCAGCCCGGCCCGAAAGGAAATGTGGTGAGTCCCAGGGGTCATATGACCTGGCTTCTGGTGATGGTCTGTGGGCACAGTCCATACCTGGCTGAGGAGGTCTGTATTAGCTGGGAATTGGGGCAGGAGAGTGGACACCTTAGCCTCTAGCCCATGGCCTGGTGCTGCTGTCTGGTGGCAGAAGCCTCTGGTGTTGGAATCCCAAGTTGGTATTTGTTACCCAAAGTGGGCCCAGCTGGGAGTCAGTTCCACCAGGAAGTGGGTCTATTAGCTCTGTATCTGTTTAAAGGCCACACGTCCTACTAAGAGTATTTCCTGCTCAGCTCCTGTCACACTGTCCTCCTGGAAGGACATCAGGGTGTGCATGCCAGTCCTCACCCCCCTTTTAGAGTCAAGTCATTACTCTTATGTGTGCAAGGATCTGCCTGCTTTCAGTGGCGGGTCCCCTTTTCCTGAAGGCCGTTTCCACACATCGACTCCCGGGGCCTACAGAGCAGGAGGAAAAGATGAGAACTGAAAATGGGGTCCCTCCAGATGAGGCCCCTCTTCTCAGGACCTTTGCCTCTGTTTTCCTATAGGGTCCCCAGGGAGAGCCTGGGCCCCCCGGACAGCAGGGTAATCCTGGTGCTCAAGTAAGTATTCTGGGAAAGGTGGCTTGGGGCATCAGGGGTGGGACACAGATTCTGGCCAAGTGGCTGGGAAGTACAGACTTCAGGTTTGCCATCAACATGGTTGGTGCCTGGATGAGGGGATGATCGGTGGGAAGACAGTGGAGGGTGAGGTCAGTCTCCTTATCTCCTGTTGCTTCTTCCCCCTAGGGTCTCCCGGGCCCCCAGGGTGCCATTGGTCCTCCAGGAGAAAAGGTAGGGGTGCTTACTTGCTCATGGGCCATGCTTCCGGCCTGGGGGGGGCGCTGCTGCCTTTCACAAGCAGCCTTGCTCTCCAGAAGGCCCTGAAGTTCAGCCCTCTGGGAGCCAAGCATGTCAGCCTCAGGGAGGCTCTTGAATCTTCTTGTTAATTGATCCATGTGTCCATTCACTCTTCATCTATGTGGGGAGGTGCCAGTTTTAGCAAGGTGCGGGGACCCCAAAACCAGCACGCACTGCTGAGTATGAACTATGAGCCATTTACCGGAAATTTAGATTGAATTGGGCAATCCTATTTAGTTGAGGTTTAGTACATTTGGCACATAGACTTCTAGAGCTTACCATGTCCTGGGATACTTGCGCTTCCTATGGCATGGGTTATTTTGGAAAATGTAAAATATCTAGGTCTCGACCATCAAGAAGCACTTCAGAGTGGTTCTGAGGCCATCCAGGTCCTGGGGGCGCTTGTTGAAATGCAGACAGCCAGGCTGTGTTAGACCTGGATCTTGTGGAGAATGTCATGGGCGGTGGGATGGTGGCATGGTGGCTCTGTGGCTGCCCTGCCTTACCCTGCCGTAGGAGTGATTCAATGGGTGCGACCGGAGAGGGGGGACCTGAGGGAGGCACTGTGCCAGGAGCAGCTTCAGGAGGCTCCCAGGACACCAGCGTCTGCTCAGGAGATGCAAGGGAGAAGGAAGATGGGGGAGGCGCTCCCATAGCAGAACTGAAGGTTCTGGCAAAGGGGGCACCTCTTAGGGTGCAGGGAGACCTGAATGCTGAGAGCAGGGACCACAGCAGGCATCCTGAGTGACAATATTTGAGTTATTTGGGGGGGCCTATAGATAAGGTCTGGGTGTCCCAGGGAAGGAGTAATCTTCAGAGGTGTCCCCTCTCTCACATGCTCTCTGGTTTATATTAGGGTCCTTTGGGGAAACCAGGTCTCCCAGGAATGCCCGGTGCTGATGGACCCCCGGTGAGTAGTGCCCCCACCCCGTCCTCCGCAGGGGGGACCTGGGAGCATCAGTTGTCCTGAGTCCTGAGGGTGAAGCTGGTGCTCTGGTGCCCTGTACTGAGTGATTACTAGATCCCGGACAAGCTTTCATACTGTGTTCCTGTCACAGAGGGAGGATACGGCTGCACAGTGGGAGCCTTACTTACTTGTTAGGGCTGCAAATTAGTCCCCTGAACTCAGCATCGTGTTTGAAACTGTGAGGAGTACTGGGCTGGGCTCCAAGCCATCACACGTGCCACCGGTGTGGGAAGTGAGGGGCAGGGTGTGCCAGAGGTATTTTTAGTGTTCACACACTGAGTTTGGGGGGAAGCTGCAGGCAGGGGGATATGTCTGCAGTGAGCACAGCTGGGGAGCCAGATTAGACTGGGCCTGGAAATAGCAGGTGAGTGACAGGTCCAATCTGGGGGGCAAGCTGTGCAGAAAGGGAGGAGGACGGAAGAGGAATCAGGTGTGTGTGTGTGTGTGTGTGTGTGTGTGTGTGTGTGTGTGTGTGTATCCACAGCTGTCATTCTGCCTGAAGATGTTGCTGGCTTGAGGGGTTTTTAATTTTAAATTTAATTTAAATATTTTTTAAATTATTAAATCCACACTTCCAGCTCCCTTACCCCCTCCCAACCTAATATTCCCTCCCGGCTTCATGTGCTCTTTAGTGTTTAGTGGAACTGGAAGGGTGTATCTCAGAAAGCAAGATGACATGCATTAATTATTTATGACGGTTCCGTTCATTGTTTTAATAACATCATTACAAACTAAATGCAGGGGGTGGGGGACTAAGGAAATGTCTCAGTGACAAAAGTGATTGCAACACAAATGTGAGACCCAGTGTTCAGACCCATAGAACCCATGCAAATTCTGGGTGCTCACAGTGTCCACATATAATTCCAGCATTGGAAAGCAGAGGGGTGGGCGTTTACCGCAGTCTGTCTGGCGAGACTTGTTCTGTCAGCAAGCTCTGGGTCTGAGACAACCTTGCCTCAGTGGCTGAGGTGGAACAGTGATCAAGGAGGACTCCTGATAGCAACCTTAAGCCTCCACGTGCTCACACGCGTACATGTGTTTACCTACATACATAAATAGACATATATTCACAATGCATACCACATCCTCACATGCAAAAGTAGAAAGAGAAGAAAAATACTGAATGGGGATGTTGAGTGTGTTAATGGTAAGGGAATGGTTCACCGTGAACTCTCTACTCCACTCCATGCCAAGGGTCACACGGACCTTCTCAGACCCCAGATTATCTTTGGTTGGTCTGGGCAGACAAACATAGTCACTCCCATCTCCATGTGGACATGCTGGGGCGTTTAGGAGCAAAGTGACCGATGTCTCACGTAGTGTGTCACTTCTATCCTTTAATTGTCATTTGTTTTGTGTTGCAAAAATAAAATGATGCAAATGACACGTTTTCTAGTAGGCAATGAGGGTGAGGGAAGCGGCAGATAGACGGCTCCATCTCGTCCCCACTGGCTGGCACAGGTCACTGGACTGTGGCTCCCTAGTGTCCGTTTCTTGTGGTAGGTGATGCCACAGGTGGAGGCCTAATGCAGTGTGTCACACATCTCCCGCAGGGTATGAGTGGCTGTATCCTCTCCACAGCCAGACATGTCTCTGGCCTCAACCCGAATTCCTCTCCCTACCTCTTGAGAGCCAGGTCCCCGAGCATGGCCTCCTTTTATATTTTGTGGTTGGGGAACCAAGAACCCCTGGCCTGTAGACTTGCTGTTCCTGTTCCATGGCTGTATTAATTACTTTTCTTGTTATTGTGACAAAATGCTTGACAATAACAGCTTAAGGAAGGAGGGGCTCACAGCTTGAGGGAGGCACAGTTCATCATTGGCGGGGCAGTCACAGCTGCAGGAGCTCAAAGCAGCTGGCCACATTGCATCCCTACTCAAGAAGCAGAGATGGATGCGGGGTACTCAGTCCAGAACCCCAGCCCATGGGATGGGGCCACCCATAGTAAGGGGGAGTCTTTACCTCAGTTAACCTAATCTAGAAACTCACATACCTGCCCCGAGTTTTGTCTTCTAGGGGTTCTACATCCTGTCAACTGAAACGCAAACCTTTAAAATGTGCTGGGGGGGCCAGGCCTGCTTTCTCTCCCGGAAGGGCCCAAAGATGGCAGGTGGACCGGGAAGACACGGGGACGCTAACCAGATCCAGCTGTCCGTGTGTTTGGAAGGGAGGGAAGATGGATGACTCTCCTTATGAAAGCAGCTCACTGTTGATAAACCTTGAAGAGGCCACCATGCTGAGGCCATTTTCCTCTACTATTTGTTTAGTTTGGTTGTGAAGAAAAAGTGATTGACAGGTCAAGGAGTTGGCTCCATTAGTAGTGTTTATCCCAGGATGCATAAAGGCTTATGCAAGGCAGTGATGCCCCTGTAGTTCCAGGCCTGGGAAAGAGGAGACAGGAAGGTTCCTGGGCCTTCCCAGCCAACCAGTCTAGCAAATTAGAGAGTTCTAGGTTCAATGAGAAACCCCACTTTAAAGGTTAGAGTGGGAACAATAGAGAAAAACATTGATATCAACTTCTGGTCTCTACATGCAGTCACACGCACATGAATGTGAATGGAGGGAGAGAGGGAGAGGGAGAGAGAGAGAGAGAGGGAGGGAAGGAGGGAGGGAGGGAGGGAGGGAGGAGAGGTAGGGGAGGCTTTCAAGTCATACCCAGTGCCCTGAAATGTGATTCATTCTTCACAGCACACAGCAAAATGATGGGTAAATGGAGCCAGTAAAAATAAAATGTGAACGAATATCCAAGATTTGGAGAAAGTGTGCTCATGATCCAGTATTAAATTCAGATCATATTATACCTGCCCACTTTGTATGCACACACACAGAGAAAATGGATTGGAAGACTGTGCCCCCGACCAGCCTCGTGGCTCTGCATGGTGGGCTGTGGAGGAGTTTAATTTCCTTTTCTGCTCTCCTAATTGTCTTCAATGAACATATATTACTTTTTTAATCAGAAAAATATCAAATACAAATAATTTAAGCTTTATTATTTTTCCATTATGAAAGTAACATCCACTGTAAAATATTGGGAAAATGCGCACTGGCAGAGAGAGAACACAGCCTCGCCTTGCACTGCAGGAAGATTTGTCAGTGTTAAATTTTCCTCTATTCTCCTCAGCCTCTGGTTAGAAAAATGAGCCCCGTGCCTTCCTACTGCAGGTCCCTTCTAGAACACAGCTGAGACCCATCTAAGGCATCTGGTCAGCCGAGGCAATGGTGTCCACCAGCCCCTGTTGGTCACACTCGGCTTGGTACTTGCTGAGCCCCTAGGGACTCTCTCCTGGGTGTCTCTGAGGCCCTCCATGATGTGGGCATGTGCAATCTCCAACGTGTCCCTGAAGGAGTTACACACAGAGAGGGCATCTGGCTTCCTTAGTGACCCCACTGCATGTGACACAGAGATACCTCTCCTAGTGCCCACCTACCCTGGTTTCTGAGTAAAGCCATGTATGTGGGCACTAAGATGAAGACCACAGTTACCCTTTGTCGGCCCTAAGGTGGGACATCCTCTCCTTGCTGTCTTAGATTCAGTCTTGCAACCAAGAACCTCTGGTGCCTTAAGCATAGTTGTCATTTCTGGAAGACAGAGGCTGGTTGAACTTGTCCCCGGGCCCAGAGCAGCAGGCACAGTCCACCTGTGGGTGCCTCAGTTTTCCTCAAAGGAGGCTGGGCTTCCCACATGAGAACTTGGTGTCCCAACCTACTTGCTAAGCTCTTTGCAAAATCAGTTCTCCAGTTAAGAGGAGCAACAGAACACATGCCCAACTGTTCCCAGGAGATGAACCTGTGTCTAGGGCCCCAGATCTTTAATCCACTCAAGCTAGACCATATGTCTGTCCTTTCATTGTCCACAAGAGGAAGTATGCGTAACAGTTTCAGTGTATCCGGAGGTAGAAGTGAGCCCCTCCCCCATTGCCTGGTCTCTTTTCTGGAATATGCGGCAGTGGAACTGCGTGTCCATAAGATGAATGCAGTCTTTTGCTCTCCTCTCTAGCTGTGGCTCTCTGCTTGTGAACCTAGGCCTCTCACCCCAGGGTCAGCCTGGTGAGACAGCCTATGCTGCATTCTGGAGGATGGAATTGGCCCAGATATGGGTGGGTATGTGGGAAGTGACCAGAAGACACCTCTCACCTTTGCTCAGCTGCCCAGGCCCCAGAGACCCACCCACCCACTGGGGTGTGACAGAGGAAAACTGGGGTGCACTCAGTCAGGTGGCAGGGTGGCTCTCTTCCTACCCTACCTGCCCTCAGTTTCCCAAACAGCCAGTTGCTTCATTTGGCAACCAGTGTGGTCTTGGGGGGCTCGGGAGTCTGATCCTGAGGGTATGACCTTGAGTTGCAGCATAATCTCCTTGGTGGTCCATGCAATCTGCCCTGGAGGGTAGTCTGGTCTCAGGCTGGGTGGCCTGCTATACCCTGCATCATCTCACATTCATGTCCCTTCCATGATCAGCCAACCGCAGGGACTCACTGCTTCTTCCCATTTTGCAGATGAAGCAGCTGAGGTCCAGGAACTGGAAGTAGCTCTTTGACTTTCTTTTTTTTTTTCCTGGAGAGGGCAGAGCTGGAGGGCTGACACAATTGCTGTAGAGGTGTGAGGCTTCTCTCTGAGCAGGTGGCTAACTAATGAAGGCCTTCTCTCCTGTGACAGGGGCACCCTGGCAAAGAAGGTCCTCCAGGAGAGAAAGGAGGCCAGGTAGGTACCCGCTGCACCCTGCCCCAGCTGCCAGTCTCTGTGTAGGTCTCCTAGGCAGTGTGGAGCGCAGTGCCTGAACTGTAAGCTCTGGGCAGCCATTGAGAAGGTCTTTTGACTATTGAAAGATGTCATTGCCCTGAACAGGATACCCCTGTTCTCCTCAGCTTGACATAGCTTCACCCCAGGATCCCGAGGATGGGGGCATGTCTCTGTGTCTTTTCTCCACCCAGTGCTATGTTTCTGTATGTTACATGGCTGCCCCTCTCCCATGCCCTCTTGGTTTCCGGGAACTGGACACAGCATCTCATTATCCTCAGACATTTCCCTCCTTTGAAGGCTTCCTCCATCATCAGCATCAGTATCAGTGTGGACCGCAGGCAGGGCCTCATGTATATCCCACAAAGCTGCTTTGCAGGGTCCCATGGAGGTTGCCCAGGCACTCACACCTGAAAATAGCTAATGTTCTTTCCCTGTGGTTTTAGGGTCCTCCTGGCCCCCAGGGTCCCATTGGCTACCCAGGTCCTCGAGGAGTCAAGGTAAGAGGGACTTTGCAGCTCTGGGTCTTCCTGGGGGTCAGGGTGGGGTAGTTGCATGGCCCTGGCTGGTTCCTGGAAGTTGCCCTGTGGTTAAGCTCCATTCCAGGCACTCAAGCATGGCCTGGCCTCCCAGTTCAGGATACAGATGCTGGGGCCCTGGACAGCAGGGTTGAACAGGTGAGATACAGCCTGCCAGCAAACGGACAAATTGATGCAGATCAAGGAACCACCTCCTAGTCAACCTGTGAAGAAGCGGTGGCACTGCACTGGCCATCTCTTGTGTTTGCAATTTGTCCTACCAGGCTACCTCAGGAGCCTCTCACAGGGGGTAGACCTCAGGCAGAAGGGGCATGGCCAGCTGGGGAAAACCAAGGAACAGTCCTCTGAGCCACTGGCATGTTGGAAAAGAGAGAAGATCAGTGTGTCCCCTCCAATCCCCGGGAGGCAAGGTTTATGGGAGATGTCCATTTGTTTACAATCATGTTTCTGCTGTAGAAATTCCTGGAACCTTGTTAAGCGGGACACAGAATGCCAGAGCAATATTGAGAGCAAGGTCCCCTTTGTTCCCTCAACATTAACTGTGTTTGCTCTGTGCTGCCTGATTTAATCTCGAGTTCCCAAGTTCCCAGGGCGAAGGCACATTCCTGTGTAGAAGATGAGTGTGGACAGGGCCTTTTCTTTCTTCATAACAGGGACTTAGCAGCATCTCAAAGCTCCAGGTTTTCCACAGGCAAAAAAAAGATAATACTCCTTCCTTCCAACCTGACCTGAAACACAGGTGCACCCCTGTGAGTGTGCAGGTGTGCACAAGCACGAAATGACTTCTGAGGTTTGAAGAATTTGTATAAATGTGACCAAGGCTGCTGCCCTTGCCCATCTGCTTTGTGGCGTTTTTTTCCTCTGTCCAGCATTGCTGTAGACCCAAGTAGACAGTCGCCCTGGGGTGTGGAGGGCGGAGAACCCAGGACTTCAGTGTTCAGAGACTGTGCAGAATCTCACCAGGCATGGTACCCCAGGCTAGACTTGAACTCAAATGGCCCTGCCTCCATGTCTCAGAAACAGGGACATCCCTCAAGAGCAACCTCTCAAGGACGGCACTTAGGCAGGTCAGGTTCCTCCTTAAGCATGCTTTTCCCAGCAGAATGTCTGGCGAATACTCTAAGGGTGATAATTGAGCAGCAGTGTTGATTATAGGCGCTCCATGCGTGTTTATCTTACAAATTCCTGTCGCTTACCCCCAGCCTTTGGCAGCTCCTACACAAGGCTAATTGCATAAGCCTTCCTCTGCAAGCCGAAAGGTGTTTACTTTAAAATGTTTATGAGGAATGCTCTTATCTATCTATCTGATTAAAATTCACTCATGACATGAGCAATCTTAGAAGCAGAGGCAAAAGCAAGCTTTAAGATAGTTTTCACAAGAGAAATAGATGTTCCAGTTCCTTGTGCTCTTGAGAACAGAAGTGATGCTGGCCACCTAATGAGTTCCAGGGCCACGGACACAGCAGAGGTAGGGGCGGTAGCTGTCGCCATTAGGGTAGTTAGTCCTTGGCTAGGGAGATCTGGTCATTTCCCACCTGACCTTCTCCCTGAGAAAGGGTTCTGTCATGGCTTATCTGTCTGCTGTAAGAGAAATTCCGTGATCAGGGGATTTGAAGTGGAGGCTGGCAGTTCAAGGACAAAGAGCAAGTAGATTCATTATTTGCTTAGAACCGAGTTCTGCTTCACAACCCGGGTGTTCTCACTGCGGCCTCTGAAGGTGGAAAGGGCTGACAGACCCTTCCCTGCCTCTCGCTAAGAGATAACTCAGGGCCTTGCACATATCCGATAACCAATCCACCGCTGAGCTAAGTGCCCAGGCCTCTTTTCACTTTTGGTTTTGAGGCAGAATCTCACTAAGCTGCCTAGGTGGCTGCCCCTGAACTCAGGATCCTACTTCAGCCCCAGGAGGAGTGTAGATTACAGGTCTGTGCCCGCAGGCCTGGACCTGAGAGTTTGTCTGTGCCAGGTCCGTGTGGTTCTGTTTCTGCCCTCCTGGACATGCCTGGAGGAATGAGATGGTGGGTGGGGCTTGAACAGCCTACCCACTGTCTTCTTCTGGAACTTCTAGATACCCAGATCCAAGGCAGCTGGCCAGACAGGGTACATGGTGCCTTCCTGAGTCCTTTGCACCACAGCTGTTCTTACACTCCTTTGCTGGGTGCTTGTGGCAAGCCTTGCTCACAGACTCTGTGTGGTCATGTGTATGCCAGATGTCCCCGTGTCTGCTCTAAGCCCCCTCCATTTTCCCGTTCTCCATCCACCACTGATTCAGGTTTGACCAAGCACAGAGCAGACTCCCTAGAGTCAGCTCCCCTTCTCCAGGGTCTTTTCCATCTACTGCTGCCACCAAGGGCCAGGGGCCACTGTCCTAACAGATTGGGCACCTCCAGTGTCAACCCACATCCATTTACCCAGTGTCAGGATGAATAGTCAATGAACAAGAGTTGCTCTGACTCAGCTGCCACCCAGATCGCCCTGCTCCATGGCTGTCCCCTTTCCTCTCCTTTCCACATCCCAAGTCATGCATCATGGTACACCAAGTAGTGATGCTGCCAACAATGGGCTTGTCTCCTGATGCTCCAAGCCCTCCCTCTCTCCAGTGGTTAAGATCTCATGGTACCTGTGCACCTGGTTTGTAGTTCCTAGCTTCCCATGTCAAAACCCAGACCACAGCCCTGGATCCTGTACTACCCTTCATTCTGAAGTTCTTCCCAGCCCCGACAAAAGCTCAGAGCTACCAAGTCTATGTGGAGCTCTGGCCAGCAGAGGGCAGCTGGTGGCCCCTAGGTACAGAAGGTGGCTCAGGTCCAGGCTGCAACCTCATCAAGAAGAAACTGGGCCACATGGCTCCTCTGGGGTCCTATGCAAAGGTGGCCCGAGGCAGCTCCTGGAGTCAACTGTGAGTCCATGTGAGTAAATGTCACTGTCTCAGAGGCCTAAGGTCCAAAGTCAAGGACCATGAGGCTATGGGTGCATTTGTCACTAGGTTCCACGATTTCACCTCTGCCAGCAGAGGCACTGGGCTTACAGAGAAAGGGAGAAAAGTGGTCCGGACTATGCCCTTAGAGCCGCATCTAACAGGGAGCCGAGGTGGTCCACCCTGGGCCGAGGACAGCCGCAATCATTGTTGTAGCGTTAGCGGATGTAATACCGTGTCACCTGTCAATGATAATGCAGAATTAACACAAGCAGATGGTGCACAGCTACCGTCTACTGGATGCTTAGTATGCACTGGTCAGTGCCCTAAGGTCTTTTAGACCATTCTTTCCCAACAGCAGAAACAAGGCTAGGGTCCTCATCAGTCCACTTCCAGATAAGGAAACTGAGGCACACAGAAGCCTGGGACATCCTCGGAGGCCATAGAACAGGGATCTTAACCTGCCTGCCTGTGTTGAGTTCTTCCTAGCTACAAGGGCTGAGGGGCTATTTCTAGAATGAGTATGTCTGTTAGCTTGGGAAAGTGTTGGCAGGAGTTTGGGTCCTTGGACAGGCAAAACCAGACCTTTGGGTAATTGACCAGGGAGAGGTTTGGATGTTTGTGTAGAAGGAGGATTCAGAGGCCAGTGTAGGCATGAAGGATACTGGGGGCCTCATGCGAGGACCTGTCAATCAATGTGAGCAGAGGAAATGCCTCTCCCTCCTGAGATGGGGAAGTGTTGCATGGGAGCTCATCTGAGACTGGTGCATAGCCCTGTGGGAGCCATTCCCTTGACTCCCTCCCGCGGGTCTTGTATGTTTGTGATCATTCTCTTTTCTTGCCTGCACAGGGGGCAGATGGCATCCGAGGTCTGAAGGGCACCAAGGGCGAGAAGGTAAGGACCTGTCCCCTGAGCTTGGGCTGGCTCAGTGTGAGGCAGGACCCAGTTTGGGTTGCCTCTGAATGTGGAGGGAAGGAAGCTTGCTGAAGACCAGGGTACTGTCATCATCTCCTGGGCTGTCCCAGAGCATACTCAGGAGGCCCTAGGATGGCCACATGGCTGTATCCACATACCCCGCCCCAAATCTCTCCCTGAGAAGCCCAGCATTCCTGCCCCGAGTCCATGCAGGCCAGGTTTACAGCCGGTCTCAGGCTTGGAGCTGGGGCATGTGAAGGCATGTCCAGCTCGGTGACTGTTCACACATATAAGCCACATTTCAGAATGTGGTGCTGCCATGGTCAAGGCTGCATGTCAGGCCTGTATGGGTCACTATTGGTTAATACAAAGGTAAATAAGGCACTCTGAGTGCCACGGGGTCAGGGTGCCCAGGGCCCCTGGCGGATGAGGCATGCTGAGCGAGCCTCATGGAACTGTGCAGCCAGCCACTTCTGTCCTATCCATGTGGTGGTAGGAGGCCTGGCACTGGGTTGTGATCTGCCCATCTTGAGCTCCATCCCACTGGGCAGCCCCCTTGTCATTGTGCTGTAGCCAGTAGGTGTGGCTGCCCATTGTGGCCGGCTGTGGAGCTCCCTGGGACACTGGGGTCTAAAGGCTGGAGGCCTGCCGAGCCTGAGCCCAAGCACGCCACTGCTTCTCACTGGACACCTTGCAAGAGTGCATGCCACTTCGTCTCACTGGACGCCCATGGACATTTTTGCCTCCTTTCCTGCGTGATCTGATAGCCTGAAATGTATTCTCTAGGGACTGTTACAAGGGCTATGGGTGGCAACAGCGCAATAGCTGTGTGTTCTACCTTGTGTCTGGATGTTTACTAACCACCCGCCACCCTTTGGGAAGCTCAGCCTTTCATTTCATTCTCTATTCCTGCTAGAGAACCTCCACAGGGTAGAACCCTAGGCCTCCTTCTTCAGGGTCAGGAGAATGGGTGTTGTCTTCTGAACAGTTTAGCCAAGGGCACCACTATGTGGATCTCATAGGGGTTAGGGAAATATCAGCTTCCCCGAACCAAACAAGGACTTTCTGAGCCCTGTCTTTGAGAGTTCCTATTCTGTTGGAGGCTCTATTACTGGAGGGCCTTCTGCCTTTTTGAAGAAGGCTTCTAGAGTCCCAGCTTTATCTTGTCTTTACAAGTCAAAGCTGCTTGGAGGATGTGACTGGCTTCCATGGGGATGCTGCCAAACCAGAGAAGTTCCTGTGCTGTCCCAAGGGGACCAGGAAAGCAGACTGGGATGGTTCTATGGAGAAGAGATGTCTGAGAATCTGTGGCCCTAGTACATCATGCGTATTGTAGCAGTGGCCTAGGGGCAGGGTGAGAGGCCAGGTGCCCACATGCCTCCTTCTGTGCAACCTGGAAGCTTCCTCCCTGTATAGCTCTCCTGCTTCTGCCCTGGGCTGGGAACTGTGCGTTGTGCAGGCCCATTGTGCAGTGAAAAGTGGTGCTGTGGAGCGGACTTCTTCTCTGCAGACTGATGCATTTTCTTGTCTATGCTAGGGTGAAGATGGCTTCCCTGGGTTTAAAGGCGACATGGGAATAAAGGGCGACCGGGTAAGTGTTGTGTGTCTGGGATTTGGGTCAGGGACAAGCAGAGAGGTTCTGGGGACCTGCATGAAAGCTAAGGGTATTTGTGACCATGGAGCAGCTTATCAGAAAGGAGTCAACACTTCTGCAAGACGTTGGTCCGAGGACAGAGTGTCTGAAGCCCAGGGGCCCTGTGCAGTGCTCTCTAGACTGCTCCTCGGTTCCCACTCCAAAGCCAGAGCATCTCTCACCTGTGCTAGCCCCAAGGACAACTGTGGTCACTGGTACTCTACCTTGGGTGCTAGACAGGCAGCTTAGCAAGGATAGGAATCCCTGGATTACAGAGAAATTTGACTCCAGAGGGTGATGAGCAACCCTGGAAAGAGGAAATGGGAGGGAGAATGGAAACCATCCAGATAGGCACATAAGCAAGCCACTGCAGAAGATGAGGCACATGGTTGGCAGTTCCATACGCTATTGAGAGTCTGCAATCTCTCTGAGCTCCTGGACTATCCTGGTCCACAGGATGCATCCAAGTCACTCTCAAGGCTGTGCAACTCCAGTGTCCTGCCATCTGGTGCTGGGTGGTGGTTAATGCCCCAGAGCCTGACCATTCCTGATGGGTTGCTCGCCCCAGTTCCAGAGAAAGCTGTTGTACAAAAGAGGGCATGGCTTTCTCAGGTAGGGGGTGCCTATCATAGCAAACACAACGAACCAGAGTTTAACAGTGGCACTGAGAGCAGTTTCCAGGTGGTGAGCGGTAGAGCCACCTGCCAGCTCCTGCTGAGCTGTTCCCTCACAACTTCAGAATGAGTCAGAGCCTGGCAGAAGGTGACACACTGTGCTCTGGTAGTCCAGCTGTTGCACACACCTGAGTCTGGTCTAATGGCTGACTCAGGACTGTCGTCCGCTTCTGTAACGATCCCCAAGGCAGGCCCCAAAGGTGCCTTTGCCAAACATTCCAGAACAAGAGTGCCTATACACTTGACACCTTGCCACAACCTGACAGAGAATGGCAGGAGTCACCTGCGTGTCTGTCAGAGGAGGAAAATAAAAAAGGGACTTGGTGTTCCATTATGCTGATATTAAAGCTGCTCCAGGCCTCCTCCAGGTGATGGATTCTCAGTGCTAGGTCAACTGCAGACATCTATCTCTTTGACTCCTCCTCTCTGATGTCTTGGTATACGCAATTAGGGTCCACTTGACTGAGGCATGGGTGTGGTGGCGTGTGCCTGTAATCTCAAGAGACAGGAGGATAGGTGCGAGTTTTCAGCCAGTTTGGGGTTTATAGGGAGACCCTAGAGATGAGATGGAGGTAGGAGCAGATGATAGACAGACAGACAGACAGACAGATTGATAGATGATAGATAAATGATTTGCTAGAGAGATGATAGATAGATAGATAGATAGATAGATAGATAGATAGATAGATAGATAATGAATTATACAAAAGGTACTTCCTGGGAGTACAGTTCAGTTTTCATAGATGAGGTTGTGATGGGGGAGCAGGTGCTATGGCCTTGCTTTCTCTACAAATAGAGCCTTGCACTGGGCTTTCTGTAGGCACTCAGATGTGAATACTTAGAGGGTTAGTAGGTTGAATGAGCAATCTGCAGTTGTTGGTCTCTGAGCAGTTTGTGTTTTGATGTGTGTTGGGGAGTAGCTCTACCCCAGGGTGGTGGGAGGTGTCAGTTAGGGGTGGAGACTGGGAAAGGCCTTACCTCCTCTCTTCTGATTGCAGGGGGAGATCGGCCCACCTGGTCCCCGAGGAGAAGATGGTCCTGAAGGTCCAAAGGGTCGTGGTGGTCCCAATGGTGACCCCGGTCCTCTGGGGCCTACTGGGGAGAAGGTTTGTGTTTACAATGCTTAACCATGCCTAGAGGGCTCTGAGTGTCAGATGGCCCCACCCATGCTCAGCATAGGTAATGGGACTCCTGAAGAGCCCATGCCACCACCCCCAGCCTTTTGCCACCTCTCCCAGTGTGTGTGTGTGTGTGTGTGTGTGTGTGTGTGTGTGTCTGTGTGTGTGTGTGTCTGTGTGTGTGTGTGTGTGTGTGTGGTGTGGATCCACTGGTTCTTTTCCTGGTCCAAGTCCCCTTCTGAGCCCCACACCACTCCTTGGAGGAGTGTTTTCCCCCAGGTATAGGTAAAGCTTGGGGGCCTCACCAGAGCACCCATCTCAATCAAATCCTGCCTCTACTTTGGGGGTGACAGAATATCCTCACTACAGTCTGACAGCATGGCGTGTGCACGGGGCTCCAGCAGGCCCCTGTCTCCAGCCTGCCCCGTACCAGCAGTACCCTCCTCCACCTTGTCTGCAGCAACCTGGGCAGGAGGGGTCACCAGGAGGACTGAAGCCTCCCGCTCCATCTGGCCATGGGCTAGAACTCTTACAGAGTGTTCAGAATCTCCCCTGCCCCCAGATAAGAACATTGGTCTTCCTGGCCATGCTATCCATCCCTTAGCTTGGTGGCTGGTTTTCCAGGCATGCTGGTAGAATAGGGTTTAGAGACACGCACAATTACAGGGGGAGACCCAGTTGCCTCTGTACTCCTACCCTACCCTTCCAACCTGCCCTAGCCCCCTCTCAGAACACAAGATTGAGAATTAATGTTTATGATTTATGAGCCTTTTTTCCTGTTTCTAGGGAAAGCTCGGAGTTCCAGGATTACCAGGGTACCCAGGAAGACAAGGGCCAAAGGTAATTTAGGCCTGCTATGTCCTTGCAGGTACTGTCTCATGTGGCACCCCACACCCTCCACACCCCCTCATCCATTCTGCACCTCTGTGTGGCTTCTGTGCCACAGAGGAACAGTATGTTCACTGCAGTCTCATAGTCCCCAGGCAGCCTTTGGGGTTAATTTGACCAAGCTCAAAGAAAGCGCTTGGACAATGAGTTGAGCCTTTCAGACAAGGGGGCAGAAACTCCCAGCCATGGAGGGGGGCAGTTCTGGGGCCTGGTGGCCTGCTGGTGTTGCCTGGCCCCTGGCTTATCCACCATCCTCCTCTTAGCTCCTCTTTACATTGGGAGTTTGGAGACTGTTTATAACTGAGCAGGAGAGGGACAACCGTTGTCTTATCTTCAGTCATGTTCAGGCTTAAGTGGAACAGGTCCTAAAGGCTTTGGAAATCAGTGTGAACATTATTTTCTTCTCATCCCACATTTTATTATTCATGGTTCCTCCTTAAACAATAACCACTGCCTGCACAGGAGACCTGGCTGGCAGCACTCAGCCAGCCCGCCCCAGACTTGCATCCCCATCCTTCTGCTGCCTGCTAGCTTCACTATCTCTAACCCACAAGAGCCAGGGCCTGCCAGCCGAAGGGAGACAGGCTGTATGGGCGAGCAGTGGCCTGTCCCCTATCGGCTCTGTGTGGACACACATATAGCCTGCAGGAATATGTCCCTTAGATGTGACTCCAATGTAGCTGCCACTGGGAGCCATCCACCCAAGTTTGGGAAATGGGATCCTGGGCACATTTCCTCTTTTCAGGTACTTGTCTCAGAAGGAGGGAAAAGGAGAGGAGACCATTTGAGAGAGGGGAGGGTAGGACATGACTCAGTGCCGGCAGCTTGGGAGCATCAGAAAGCGGGACCTGATACTCTGCCCTTGGGCTGTGACTGGATGCAACAGTGTTCTGCACAGTGGCCTGGGAGTATGGTGTCACCCACCCCAGGTCCCCCTGTTTCGGTCTCCCGCCTGGGTGGCCAGGTGGACATAGACAAGGCCTGGGAGGTGTGGAAACAAGCAGACTTCCCGGAATAGGAATGTGTCTGTATGTTAAGCCACCCAGAGGGCGGGAACTCTCAGAGGGCTCTAGACGACACCTGCATTAGTGCCCAGTGGGTTGCTCTGGGTGTGTCCCGGGAGCCCCTGCGGCATCTTTTTGTACATAGAGGGAGTTTGAATGCTTGGCAGATCAAAGTCTTGAGAACCATATTTGACCCGCGTGTACATCTGTAGAGGTGAAAATGTTAGATACTGTGCCTGGATTTGAATCTGTTTCTGGCCTGGCGAACGGTCATGCTTTTAGTTAAGGCACTGTGGACAGGTCACGAAGCATGACGGCAGGACAAGTGAATAGAGCTGTGAGATGCAACCCCCATTTCCAGGGAACCTCAACCACCGTGCTCTCCCATCCCCCAAAACATCACTGGCCAGGCACAACCTCTATGTGGGAGCTGAGGGAAATGGGATGGAACATGCTAAGACTTAACTTTGGGGTCTAGTTAACGTTCAGTAAATACTGAATTGTGGATGGGTGTTGAATGGGTGGCAGGTAGGCGGCTAGACACAGGGATGACAGGAGACTAAAAGGATAGGTGAGTGTATATCCCATGGGTGGATGAGTAGGGTGCCTAGCTGGGTGGGTGGAGGCTATGTGGGTATTACATGGATGGTGGTGCAAAGCAGATTTGGTCAGTGGGTAAGGAAGGGGTGTGAACAGTAACAGGAACTTGCCCTAGTGGCCATGACAGCGTAGCCCTTTCTCCTGGCTTGGCAGTCTTGTTTCATCTTCTCTTAACTGTCTTGCAGGGCTCTATAGGATTCCCTGGCTTCCCGGGTGCCAACGGAGAGAAGGGCGGCAGGGTAAGCACTGCAGTTTCTCGGCTGCCTTGGTGTGCAGGTGTTGGCCATCTGGTCAATGCTCTGTTGATTTTTCTCCACTTGCCATCAGAACTACCTTTCCAGAAGTAGCTGATTGTGAGCTCCAGGCCCGTCTTTAACTTTCCGTTACAGAGGCACCATGATAGGAAGGGGCAATGGTAAGAAGGAAGAGCATGCTGGGAAAACGGAAGTTTCTGACGGGCAGGAGCCAGGAAGCCCTTGGGGTTCCTCCAGGTTCTCCTCTTTCTGAGAGACTTTCCTGCATACTAACTCTACAGGGAGAAAGAAAAGGTGTTATTTTGTTGGTTTTGGTGTGATGTACCGCCTCTTGTCAGGCTGGGTCCATGTTACCTTGGGGCTATGTGCTGTGATTCTCAGACATTCAGTCCCTGTTGGAAGCTACCCTGGTTGAAAACACAGGGCAGGACATGACACCATTGGGTTCCCACTGTTGTCATCATCACAGGGGTATCTTGAGGGCCAACCTGGGGGAGCCAACCCCCCCCCCACCTTCTATGATGTCCTTGTTGGTTCAGGCCTTCCAAGTAGGAGTCTTGGTGATGTCACAGAGCCTGAGCAATGCCAGCTGGGAGACAGAGCGTGATGGCCATCTTGGGCTTTGGGCATATGGGACACAGAGAGGCGTTTGGTGTTTGGGGACACAGAACAGAGTGCCCCTGGATAGCTGCCCTCCACACACACAGAGCTGAGGCTGGGGCTCTTCCTGGTGGGGCACTGCTTCATCAGAATGCCATGTGTAAAGCGGAGTCGGTGTGCTCTTAAAACCCAGGAGAATGACTTCATGGTATGAGACCTTGTGAACAGGCCAGTGGTCACCAGCCTCACACTGTAGAAAGCAGGAATGTCCTGGGAGGCAGCGCACAGGGTGGAGGCCGTCTGCTGTCACCATTGATTCTCTCTCTCACACAGTCCCTTTACCATCTTTCTATTTTTCTATGTATCTTCCATTTTCTCTCCACCCATCCTTCATTCCATCCATCCAACCATGCATCCATGCATCTGTCTGTCCGTCCATCCATCTGTCCGTCTATCATCTGCCCCCCCTCTTCTCAGTCAGACTCTCTATCTAGAGTCATCTGACCGGTATTTGTAGGAAGGGTTGGCCCCTGGAATACGTGGACATATTCCCTATGAGGCCTAGGGTCTCACAGGTGTGGAAGATGCTGCTGTATAAGGATGGAAAGCCCATGGGTTGCTGCTTTGCCTAAGTGGGAGATCGACCAAAAATCGGGTGTCCTTGGACCACTAGGTGTGGCTGGCTTTCCCAAGTGCCCCTGGAGGCTGGAGGCTGGGTGCCATCCTGTTGCCCCCCCCCCCCCCCGTGCTGTGGACCCCTTAGTCACATGGGCTTCGCAGAAGGCAGCCCATTCGCTTGCACTGCACGTTTCCTAAGTCCTTGCTAAGCTCTGAGCTTACCAGGCAAGGGATGCTCTGGTGACTGAGCAAGATAAGGAGCAGCCAGTAGCCAGTGCTCACGGGTAATGAGCATGCAAGGAAGGATAAACGGAGCCCCTAGACACGGGTATTACCAGGAGGCAGAGATGTTCCTGCTAAGACCATAAAAGGGTGGGAGGGGGAGGGCAGGATCACTTAGGGAAGCTGGTGTAGCTGAACCCAGGGCAGAGGTCTGGGCGGGCGGAGGCTGTGGAGGCCTTGCTCTGCAGCACCTTGGGGTGGGTCTTTATCCCAAGGCAGTCAGAGTTTAGTCACGGGGGTAACCCAGGGAGATTTTTAAAGGTAGTTCTGGTCCTATGTGGGAGAGGATTAGGAAGGGGCCGAGGGCTGTGAAGGGGGCAGGTCTGTGCTATACCCTGGAGACCTACTCTGCTTGCAGATGATCTGGTCAGCAGGATGCCAGGTTGGGTTTACAGAGTGTGTATGTTTGCCACTCACCCAAGTGCTACCCATTTACCTCAGTCCTCGGTTACCAGAGACCTGGCTTCTGCAGAGCTCGTGGCTCATGCCTGCCGGACAGTGGGAGGTTAAATGGGAAGCCATCAGAAGCAACACTGTCAACCAGCCAGCTGCAGCCCAAGGCAGAGCCACCATACAAGCAAAGCAGTGTCTTAGGACGAGACTGTACCCCTCCCCTTGGAGGGTCCCAAGAGAAGCAGGCTCCGCTGAGGTCTCCCAGCAGATTCAGCTTAACCTTATGCTCCAGGAGAGCTGTAGGCAAGGCCATTTCAGGGACCCCCTATTCTTTCCTGGCAGGGTCTAGAGGCCAGGTGTGCCCAAACAATTAACTTGTGAGGGAGTCCTGGAGGTGTGCTCTGCTCAACACCGGTCACCAGGCCAAGCTCTAGTGGCTTAGATTACCATATACCCTGCTGAGCACCGTGCTACCCCAGGGCCCAGATGGGAGCTGGGCTGAGACCTGTTTGCCTCCTGCCAAGGCTCGAGTGCCTAGATGCCCCAGGTACCATGAGGGCAGGCTGCACCTGGAGCCAGGTGTGCTACAAGGTCGGATGGGGCCAGAGTGTGATTCCAGGTGAGAGAGAGACAGCGGTGTTGGCAGCGTAGCCAGGATTACATACCCGGATAAGCCAGGGCTAGTCACACTGTCAGTAAGGGCACACACATCAGAAGGCAGCAGATGCCTTACTTAATTTTCATATGCAAATATTTACCTGCAGCCAAAGGATGTTGTCACAGAGCTGAAGTATTGTAACGGGGATGCGTATGTTGTTAAGGGGAAAAAAAACCATAACTCATATGCTGTGATTTGTTTCATTAAATCCCTTCCAAAATGGGAGACTGTTAGGCCCCTGGTAGTGGGAAAGTGGAAAATGCTAAGCGGAGACTCAGTCTATGGCTTCAGCTTGGTGGAGACCAGGATAAACCCGGGGTGAACTCAGAGCGCTCGAGCCCCTGCGCTCAATTCATTCTCTCCGTGTGCTGTGGGTAAACTGCACTTGCGGGCCATTATATCCTCGCTATGGCAGAAAACAGAAAACAAATGCCATGCGTTTGCTTTCCGGGGTTCGGAAAATGCAGATCAGCAACAGCAAAAGGACTGAACTCTGGGAGAAGCCGGGGACTCTTGAATGTATGATTTATATGTTAAATTGCAGCTTCCCTTTGCGCCTGCAGAGCCTGATGAAAATTTAATGCCTAATATTCGTAACAGTAGTGGAAGAAAATTATGTGTGATAGGAGTTGACTTTCTTCTCTCTTCATGTAATGATTTCTGTGCCTACTAAGAGGAGAGGAGAGAAGAGGAGGGGAGAGGAGGGGTGGGGAGGGGGAAGGAGTGAGGGAGCAAATGAACCAGCTTAGTAACAGACACTACCCATCAATATTTCTGCCCTTAAACTCTCCCATTCACCCCCCCAGACAGGCCCTTCCTGACCTCACTCTGGATTCCTGAAATCTCTTGTTAACTCAGGGAGGGCAACCTGCAGAGCAGGGCCATACTTGCCCAGTGTGACTGACATCCTATTCTCTGCTTCTAGGGGACACCTGGAAAGGCAGGACCGAGGGGACAGCGAGGCCCAACGGTAACCCTTTTTTGTGGCCTAAGGCTGCTCTGTGCAAGCTGGGATTGTGGCATGTGGGTGGGCTCTGCGAGTCTCGGGCCTCTGAGTTAACTGACTTTCCTTCTCTCTGTCCATCTGTTCAGGGTCCGAGGGGTGAAAGAGGCCCACGGGGCATCACGGGGAAGCCTGGTCCTAAGGTATGCTCATGGTCCTTCGAGGCATAAGAACTGTAGCTTCGTATTGTAGAGATCATCAGTGAGTGGTCTGTGGTCTTTTCGTGTAACAACAAAAAGAACAATTTTCTTGAATATCACTAAAGGGGGCTCTGCCCTCCAGCAGCCTTCAGCAAGGTTTGTGAATTGGAACACATGCCTAAGGGTAACCCCAAGAAGACCCAAGACAGACGGAGGTAGGACAGCCCTAACACATAGGAACTTCAGGCTCCAGGAAGTCAGCCTAGCACAGCCCTACCCAGCTCTAGTGGGGTGACTGGGAACTGTAGAGATCCTCGCTAGAAGATTCTTTGTGGTGCAGGCAGAAGCTGAGCCTTCCACCGCCAGAACTCCCCATGCTGAGAGCGGTGAAGCCAGCTCCCTGTGCTGTAATCTAGGGAAATGCCAAGCATGCATGCTGCCCAGTTCTCACCAGTAAAAATCCAGAATAGGGACTGAAGAGACAGGCACTGCAGTGTGTGAGCGCAGTTGTTGCTCTTCCAGAGGACCGAGGTTTGGTACCCAGTACCCACGTGATGGCACAAAACCACCTGTAACTCTGGTTCTGGGGCATCTGATGCTGTCTTTGCAGACGCCAGGCATGCAATTGATACACAGACATGCATACAGGCAAAACAGCATTGATGCACATGAAAATATTAAAAACATAATCCCCCGAAGGATCTTGCTGCGAGGAGGTTCCAGTTAGCTGAGAGTCACAACTGACCCATCCCTGACCTGTCCCCTGCTTGGACTTCTGTGCTAAGCTCCAGGAACATTACACGCATGCATGCACACACACATTCAGGCACGCACGCACAGTGGACACAGCTCTTCCTGAGAACCAGCTAGGCACATGGAATAGTCCTGAGCTTTCTATTTAGCCATTTTGATGTGTTCTTGGTTGAGCTCAGTCTGTGTCCTACTAGTCACAGGGACCTGTTCTGGAAATATCACCATCCTGCATATGGTAGCTCCCTATTGGCTACACATAGAGGTGGGCTAGCATGGAACCGAGGCTCAGTGCTGCTGCACACTGCCCTGCACTGGGGTCAGGATGACGTTGAGCAGCCTTGGCCCTAGACATGAGAGCAGCCCTGGAAGAGCCCTTGGCCACAGCAGTCATGGTGAGCTTTTCTCTCCTCTCTCAGGGTAACTCTGGAGGCGATGGCCCAGCTGGCCCTCCTGGTGAGCGGGTAAGAGTCTTCTGGGCCTGGGCTATGAGATTTCCAGGGAGGAAAATGGCCCCAAACACACTCCAGGCACTTACCCCTGGGTGAACCAGTACAGGAGGTCAACAGTGCCCTGCAGAGGAGTAGGGCTTGCTGAGGCCCAGGGGTAGCTCATAACCGGAAGTTATGTGTTCCTTGGGGGAGACCTCATCCCTCCCTTTTGGATCTGGCCTTGGGATGCTGGAGGTGACAAAGACCACAAACATTTTGTCTTGACCTCATATAGCAAAGAGGACTCTGTGGTATTGCCATATAACTTGACCACCAGTTTGGGATTCTTTCTATCTATCTATCTATCTATCTATCTATCTATCTATCTATCTATCTATCTATCCACCTATTTATCCACCTACCTACTTACATTACCTATCTATCTTCTATTAACTATCTATATCATCTACCTACCTTACCTGTCTTCTATCATCTATTATCAACCTACTGAAATCTTTTATTACCCATCTATTATCTATCTACATACCTACCTTACCTATCTTGTATTAACCATCCATCATCTATCCATTACCCATCTATCATCTATCTTATCAATCCATTTTCTATTACCTATCTATCTATCTATCTATCCATCCATCTATCCATCTATCTATCTTCTAGTATCTAGCTCTCTCTTCTCAGGTCCTCTAGAGTCAAATGGGGAAAATGGGGTCAGGTTAAACAGGGAGGTTTTAGGTGCAACCAGTGCCACAGAGAGGAAAGAATGGGGGCTGCTAACAGGAAGATGTCTGTCCTCAAACTGCTCGTTCTCTGTTCCCAGGGACCCAATGGACCCCAAGGACCCACAGGCTTCCCTGGACCCAAAGGCCCCCCTGTAAGTACTGCTCTCTTCCATGGAGGTGGCAGGCCAGGTTTCCCTGGCACTGTTCTCCTCATCTCGCTAGGACTTGGGGTAGAGAGGAGAAGGGACACTGGACCCCTGCTGGATGGGCAGTGGAGACAACCTCCCAGGCCTGGCTGCTGTTCCGGAAGCATTTATTTCTGGACAGAATTTCCTTTCCATGAACCTTGCCTGCTGGGGCCCTTCCCCTGTGGGGACCTCCCATGTCAGGTCCTGCTGTCATTGTCTAGACCATCATGAGAGTCTGACTGGGTTTGCTTTAGTGTCTTGGGTGACCACACAAATGCAGCAAGCAAGGTTTCTTGAAACAACTGAGAGGTCTTTTGTCAATCCTGGGGCCATGTCTGAAGTCAAGGCTGGTTCCTCCCCAGAATCCAGGCAGGGCCCACAGCAGAAATTCAAGGGAAGGCCCACTCAGGGCCCACCTTCTGCAGGGGAGGGCTCACAGGAGAAGGTATATGGTAGGAGATCTCCTACAACAAACGAGAGCTCAAGTCAGGAGAAGGCCCAGGGAAGGTGAAGATCCATGCCAGGGGAAGTCCACGCCAGGGAAATTCCATGTCAAAGGAGGGTCCACCATGAGGGAAGGCCCATAACATGGTAGGTCCTCGGGAGGGAAGGGTCTGTGGTGTGGAGGCCCACAGTAGGGGAAGGACCTTGGCAGGGGATCTTCATGGCAGGAAAAGTCTATCCAGACTTCTCTCTGGGTTCTGGAGTTACAGTCCCTCCTCGATGTTGTCAAGCTAGACAGATGAGGGTCCCAGTGTGACCAGGCCAGCTACCTTCTGAAGCTTGGCAAGCTGGCTGGTCTCCCTTGACTCTGTTAACCCCTTGGGACAGCTGTAGGGATTGTGGGACAGGTCCTTCCATGGCATCTAGCTCCATGATTACTGTCCATGTGGCTGCTGGGTGATTCCCTTTCTCAAGAGCCATTAAAATGACAGTAATTTTTGTCACCTGCTTCTCTGAGCTGCTGAATGAGCCTTTCCTGCTGTGACTTTTTCCTCAGGGCCCACCAGGCAAGGATGGACTCCCTGGACATCCTGGGCAGAGAGGCGAGACCGTGAGTATTCCAAGTGCTGGGGATATGACTGTCCCTGGCCTGTCTGGCTAGGTCTCCCACAGCCCTACACATAACATGCTGCTGGCTGCCTGGCACAGTCAGGGGGCCCTCCCAGCTGGGAAAGACTCAAGGGCCTTGGCAAGGGCTCCGTGGGCCAGCCATCTGCTGTTAACTTGGGGTCAGGCTGTGCGGTGGACAGGAGCCCCAAGATGTCACAGTGGAAACTCATTCTTTGCTTGTTTTAGTAGCTTTGGTCAATGGCCATATTTAAAGCTGTCAGGACATCATACTGTTGGAATCACAACACCTGTGTCTCCAGCCCTTATTTCCCCAGGGTAACTGTGAGTGCAGCCTTGCTGGGACATCACAGGGCCTTATCCTGGGAGGCTTGGGGAGGCTCTGTCCCTGTGGACAAGCTGATTGTTTAGGCTACAGAACTCCATGACAAGGGCCATGTCACATAGATCCTAATGTTGCCCATCTGGTAGATTCCAGAATGGGGAGCTGGTGGGAGGGAGCAAAAAGATGGCTTTAGCCTCCACTGTCACGGTAAAGAAGCATTTGTGCAGGGGAGATGAGACAGCTAGGTGTGTGAGGTGCCCAGTGGGGCAAGCATGTGATCTGAGCTGAGTGAGTGGACTCTGGGTTCAGTAAGAGACCCTGTCTCAGAAAGAGCACATGCATGCCCATGACCTTGGCTGCGCTTGTGACCCTGGGATTTCAGACTTGGAGCAGCTGAGCCCTCCAAGTGCTGGTGACATCCTTGCTGCCATACTGAGTGCCCCTTTGTGTGCCCCCGCCTCACCCACACTAAAGGGCAGTTTGCACAGGTGTAAGCGTTTCTCTCGGGGCAGAGCAGGGCCCACGGGGCTGACAGGCCCCTGTGTCATTACATCCAGTTCATTGTGCCTGAACGTTTCTGTGGCGGGGGGGAGGTGGGGAGCTCTCATGGCTGAAACTGGCCCTCCCGATGTGGGCCTTTGTACACCTCGTCAGACAGAATCCTGGCACCTGCTTTAAGACATTGTCCCCTCTGTCTGTCGGCACACAGGGGCGAGAAGCCTTTTAATTATGCCTTTGCCAGTGTTCAAGCAGCCCATGCTGGCTGATAAACAGAGATTACCTTGCTCTTTTGTTTAGAGAGAAAAATTAAAATATTTCTTCAGAGCTTTGCACATTTCCCTCTAAAGCCTTTCCAAGGAGACAAGAGAAAAGAATTTTGCATACTGTGTGCGTTTCTCCCTCAGACTCACTGTGCAGATAATTAAGTCGCCTGTCTTTGCTTGGAAAGGTGTAGCTTCTAGCAACTTCTATCATGACCGGCTACCTCTGTAGACACAGGGGCACGTTGGCGATGCTGATGACCATCTGACACTCATCTGAAGTCCTCCAGAGTGTAGACTTCCTTCTTTTTCTCCCTGTTTCTCCTGCCAGTGAACACGAATGGCCATTACTTCTCCTTAAAGGGAGCCAAAAGCCTGTTTCTCAGCAAGGAGCAGAAGACCAGTCTCCTCTGTATCTGGCCTGCGTGGCCCTGGGGTGACTGTGGACCTGGTGGGAGGCCTTGCTTGCCCTCCTCACTAACACTGCCATGGGCAGAGATTTACTTTGGCCCCTATGTCCTGTCAGCACTCCCTCCTCTTGACCTGCCTACCCATCACCCTTTGGTTTTGGCGGTCAGAGAGGTGTGTCTTAGAAATGGTCTCTTCTGCCTACTGTGTGAGCTGAGCGGGGCTGAGAGAGAAGAGCCCTCCTGGGTCTACATGGCAGAGTCTGATGTAGTTCGTGTAGCCAGGGAATTGTGTGAGATAGTAGTAGCCTGTCGCCCGCTGGCCCTGAGCCCTCCGCTCACCCTCCTGCCATAGCAGTGACCTCTGCTGCAGCGGGAGTGCCCCCCTCAGGCCTTGGGTAGAGTCATCCTGGTGCACCTGGCAGCTGCAGGTGTTTCTCATTGTGCCGGCTTTGCTCCCCCATTATGCCTAAAATCAAGCTTGCCTTGCTGCAGCTTCCTGCTCAATAGGAGAGTTTGGGCAGCAGAGCCCAAGTGGGGCGGTGATCCTGGCCCCCGTAGGCATGAGCACTCAGATCCTCGACAAGACAGCATCTATGAAGTGACTTTAAACTAACACATTTGAGCTGATAGCTTCAGAGAACAGCCAGGCCTGGCTCCTGCCTGTCCTAAATATGAAGAGATGCAGGCTGGCGCAGTCACCTGCCGTGCGTCAGAGGCGTGGATTACAAAGGCTAAAAAGTCCTACAAAGTTGCTAACGAGCACCAGCCCAGAGACGGCTCTCATGTGTCCTCAGAAAATGAACACGCAGTGACATGAGGGAGAATGACAGACTTGAAATCCTTTTCTCAGCACAAAGACACAGCGTGGAGCTAACCCACCTGGCTTCGGTACTCTCATGACATTAATATGGAAAGGGAGCTTCAGTGCTCTCATGAAATTAATGTGGAAAGGGAGCATAAGTCATGACTCCACAAGGAGAGTTTGGAGCACAGGCACTGGGGATTGGTGTGGGATGGGCTTCTGAGGAGACCGCAGCAGGGCAGTGGGTGCTGCTGCAATGGCCCTCAGCTTGCTGATTCTCTCCACAGGGTTTCCAAGGCAAGACTGGCCCTCCAGGCCCCCCGGGAGTGGTTGGCCCTCAGGTGAGAACTTGTAGCATCTTATGACTGGGGATCAGGGCTGTGGTCAATTGTTTTCAGAGCAAGAGTGGATGCCACTAATGGAGAGACTTAAGTCCCATGGCAAGTATGTGCTAACCGTAGGAGATGCGTCCCTTGAAGGGAGCTGTGCTGAGAGAAAGCACGTGGCTCATGGCGCATATGGCCCGAGTTCAGCAACAGAGTTCAGGTGACCTCAGACCAGACAGGGCTGCCAATGGCACAGGGGCCAGTGGTGTCTTCTTGTCCTGTTGCGGACAGCAGAGGCAACTGATTCTTCTACACTTGGACAGTGTCGGGGGTTCTGATCCCAGCCAACACAGATCAGTGAAGGGTACAGGTTCCGGCTAGGGCTGATGGCTGTAGATCCAAAGACAGTGTTGTACCTGTCACCTTGCCACTTAGAAAGTCACACCTGACATAATGAGAAGTATGAGACTGACATCCGGTGTCACCACAGAACTGGGGCCCATGAGGCCTTCTTCCCCCTGTGGTAAATATGGCAGCCCTCGGCATCTTTCTGGTTACATCCCAGAGCAGCCTCTAGAGAGGTGCAGGTACGCAGGGGGGGGGGACACTAGCCATGGCTGATTGTCTGCTGACTTCGTCGTTTCCCTCTGGACTTTGGATGGCAGGAGGAGCCTTGCAGGAGAATAGAGACGAGTGCCAGGTCCACCGTGGATGCTCTGTCACCATAGTCTGGGCCATACCTAGGCTCAGGAAGAAGAGACTATCCCCTTGCAAGTCACTCAGAACCAACATGTCACTAAAAGCAACACTGTCTTTCCCCATAGGGTCCCACAGGAGAAACGGGTCCAATGGGCGAGCGTGGCCACCCCGGCCCTCCAGGCCCCCCTGGTGAACAGGGCCTTCCAGGAGCTGCTGGAAAAGAAGGGACTAAGGTGAGTTTCTGGAAGTTTCCATGTCAGGGGGATCTTTTTTTTTTTATTCCTAGGAATAAGTTAAAGCTTTGTGTTTCCTCTTGATCTTTTTGGACAAATGGGTAATTTCTCACACAAATGCTTCTCTGAAACCCACATGTTCAGATCCATTTTGCCTGAACTGAGACAGGGCTGCCACCCGCTGCAGATGGAGCACAGAGGGAACGTGGGATCAAACCATCCCAGCCCCCGTGGAGAGCGCCTTCCCCTGCTGCCCACTTCTCCCAGAAACAGACTAAAGGCTCTGAGTCTTCAACAGCCAATACAGATCTGGTAGAGAACGGTTCTTTGAAAACCCCTCACATGAACACGCTGAAAATAGATTCTGAAAGCGAGAGACGGTTGCCTCTCCAACCTCACACCCAGTGCTGGCTCTCGCTGTGCCGACTCTCCCTATGCCCCCCCTTTTTTGTAGTCTGTTCTGTAGGCAGGAGTGCCCCAAATTTGTGGTTGGAATGTTTGTGCGTTAACATAAAAAAAATCTTCAGATTTCTATGAGGGTAACTACAAACACAAGCTCTCAGCCTATTATTTTTTTGTCATTGTTGTTTTGAGACAAGGTCTCACTGTGTAGCCCTGGCTGTCCTGAAACTTGCCATGTAGGCAGGCTGTCCTTGAACTCACAGAGATCTACCTACTTCTGCTTTCTGAGTGGTGGGATTAAAGGCGTGCGCCACCATGCCTGGCCCACCCCACTTGTTGACCTGACCCATAACTGAAGAAAATCACACATTCTTTGTGTGTGTGTCTGAGTAGATTAATACATACATCCTCAGATATATATGTACACATATGTGTGTATGTAAAGACACACATATGATCCTAACACATGCAGCACTTGGCCTATAAGTATATGTATACATATGTGTGTATGTAAATGCACATATATAACCCTAACACATGCAGCACTTGGCCTATAAATCTATCTACTCTAGAAAAAGAGAGCACATTGAGTTTAGAAAGATCTGTATGTTCCCATGTGACGCCCAGGGAAAATTCTGGAAGATATTCTAGCTTTTACACTTTTGGGAAGGGCAAGCCCAATGATGTCTGTTTTTAGGAGTGGGCATTGGGCTGTCAGAAAGTTCCTTGAGTGGCATGCTTTTAACCACAAGTTACCCTTAGCTAGGCATGGTCCCACTGGGGAACCCTTGTGGCCCTGCTAGACTTTGCAGGTCTGGGCCTTGAGTGAGCACAGGGAGAGGGAGTCATAGTTGTAGTCCCTTCCCCAGATCCACATCCAAAGCCAGCCTGAGAACATGGTTCCCAGGTGTGTATGTGTGGGGTGGGGGTCTGAGCTCAAATGCACGGAGGAGTAGAGGAGACATGCCAGGTCCTGGATTCCATCCCCAGCCTCCTAATAGAAATGAACCTGGAGGATTTCTTTAAAGCCAAGAGGCTAGAGGAAGCCCCAGCCAACCCAGATCCCAGTGGGTCTTGACAAATGCCTCCTCCTGCTTCTTAGACACGAAGGACATTGGTGAGAAATCAACAGTTGGAGCTTCCGGGTCGGGTTAAATCTGGCTCTCTTTCAGGGGGACCCAGGCCCTGCTGGCCTCCCTGGAAAGGATGGCCCTCCAGGATTGCGTGGATTCCCTGGGGACAGAGGACTTCCCGGCCCCGTGGTGAGTGTGGGGCTAGGTGGGTGTAGTGGCCTGGTGCTCAGCCCTGGGGTTTCCCCCTCCATGCCCTCAATCCACATTCTTACTGCTTTGCAGGGAGCTCTTGGGCTAAAAGGCAGTGAAGGCCCCCCTGGCCCGCCAGGTCCTGCGGTAAGTCAGTCTTCTCTCCCATCCTATCCTTCAGACCTTGTTCAGAGCTGGGAGGGTATGCCTAGCTGCCCTGGTCCCCACCGAGTGTGTCAGGAGGGCAGGATGGAGCATAGGGACAGTGTCCCCAAGTTAGCCACTGGGTTGACAGAATCACAGGTGTCACCGTGTATGAGGAACAGCAGAGGAGTGGCAGCTTGTGAGTGACCTGTCTGGGCATGGAGGCGAGGAGGGGATTCATACTTGGTGTGGACCTATCTTGGGTCGACAGAGAATAGGTCCTCTTCTTATGAACCTCTAGGACATGTCCTAGAGCAGGGTGGGCCACCTGGGACAGGTAGGAAAAGGGTAGAACTCTAGCCTGTAGTCCAGGAGCTATTATATGTTGTCTAATATAGCCAGCCCCCCAATCTCAGGACCCGGACTGTGAGGGGCTTTAGCACCCTGCATTCCCAGGCCCTTAGCTGAGGCTGTTCTTCCCCACATATGGGTAAGGACTGTCAGCTTTTCTTCCTCTGCAATTCAAGCCAGCCTGATGGCTGAGCTCAGGTAGAAAGTCCAGATGAGTTTGGGAGTGACCTCCCCTAGCTGGATTCTAGACTGGAGAAGTCAGATGGGATGGGAAACTAGTCTTCCCTTTAGATAGGGCATATTGAGGACTTGCATACTCTGTTGACCTCTTGATGTGATCTTAAGCTTAGCCTGCATTCCTGTTATCATCAATATCTATACCCAGATCAAGACCTCCTCTTTAAGTCTGTGAACACTTTGTGGGCAGGCAGATCCTGCAGGAATGGATAGATGCCAGACCTCTGGAAAATGTCACCAAAGACAGACACAAAATAACGCTTTTTCTCAGACTCGTGGGAGGAGAGGGCCTGTGTAAGATGGAATTATGGAAGGAGAAGAGCTAAGAAGAGGCCTAATGACAACCTTATACTAGACCAAATAGTCCATGCTTGTACAAAGTCATCTAGGGAGCCCCTGAGGGCTCTGAAGCGAGCGGAAGAGTGGTGTGACCCATTTGTGTGTAAGGAAGTCTTGCCATACAGCTCAAGAGCCTCTAAAATGACTCATTTTCTTGCGGCACTTTAGGGTTCTCCAGGAGAGAGAGGACCAGCTGGTGCTGCGGGGCCCATCGGAATTCCAGGGAGACCTGGGCCTCAGGGACCTCCGGGGCCAGCTGGAGAGAAAGGGGTTCCTGTAAGTACTGTTTGAGATTGGGGTCACCTCCCAGATTTGGTCCTGTCTCTCCTGTGTTATCTCTTTTGGTCCTGTCTCTCCTTCTGTGTTATCTCCATGGACACACGCTGGAGGTGGGAGCAGGCAGAAGCTATGGAATGGAGTCTGATTATCCTACAGGGATAGACCTCTGAGGAGCCAGCCTGGTGGCTAGACAGTCTGTCCCCTACAGACCTGTGTTCTGTCCAGCCTCTGAGCCTCCTGAGTAGCTGGGTCATACTGTCTGTTAAGTGAACATCGCCTTACCACCAGCCTCACCCCATGGCTGGGCCTTTTAGGAAAAAGTCAGTTATTTGAGAATGGATGGTCCCTTTATTGATGAGAACACAGGAGGGAGACACTGTCTGGCAGAGGATGGCAGGTAAGTTCTCAGGAGGTGGAACTACTCCTCTGTGAGGCCTGAGTTCACTGGGTTCTGAAAGGCCTGTAAATCCAGGACATTGGACAGGCCTGGGTTTCCACACAGCCCTTCTCTGATCTCCCAGCACGGCTCCCCATCCATAGTGGCACCAACACCCCCACTTCATGCTGACAGTTCATATGCAGCTTCATGCCCTCCCATTGCCCCTGATTTCCCACAGCTGTGGGGGTAGGTCTCCTAGATTCCAGTGCAGAATGCCAGAAGGAGCACCAGTGCAGGGTAGGCATGGAGCAGTGAGCTAGACACACAGGCCCACTGACCTGAGCTAGGGTAGCTCCGTGTTCTGTGTGGGCTGCTCTCCTGGGCTCACAAGAAGGAAGGACATCCAGACCACACTGGAGCATCAGTGCCACAGATAATCTTGCGATGTGCTTTTGCCAATTGATAGCATTGTACCATTTTTAGTTAGGTACCCAGAACACAGGTCCAGTTGGATTCTGGGTACAGCTCAGAAGCCCTTGGAGGCTCAGGACATTTGGCACTCACAGACTCAACCGGAGGAAGTGCACCATTTCCAGAGACTCAATATTTAAGCAGAAACCTTGCAAGAACTACACTAAGTAGGGGGATAGCTCCAGCAAGAGAAAACGATGGAGAGTGCGGCGCCAGCGCCACAAACTAGGTCCGAGGTATCAGGAAAAGAGAGACCAGACGTACAAACTGTTTGTACTAAGAGAATGCATGTGTTGCCTTTATTGCCAGGAGAGTGTGTATGTGTGTGTCTTCATTACAAATGCTAAGAGGTCTCTCCCTTGTAGGAGGGAGGAGCTTTTTATACAGGTTTACAGCACAGTGGAAAAAACCCCAGGTAGAAGAGATCATTGTTTTCCTCCTGCTAGATGTTGATGTCAGAGGGTCAAGGCCAGGGCAGTAAGCCAGGACTAGAAAACAGAAAGCACTTGGACTGGAAAACAAGTTGCACTTGTAGACTGACCAGCAACTCACAGAGACCCCATGGGGCTGGGGCCCAACAGGAGAGAGGGTCAGGGGCTCTGCAGACTCCCAGCCTGACAGGGAATGCAGGGAGAGAAACTTCCAAAACCCTAACCTGCCAGAGCCCTTTCTAGCTTAGGGAGGACAGGCTGGCTCCAAGGGGTGGGGAGTGAGGTATAGGAGGGACAGGATGGGCTAGCCTAGCATCCATGTCCCTCTCCTGTTGCTCACAATTTCTTTCTTTGTGTCATTGGAACAAAGACACTCCTAGCTGAGGTGAGAAAGTTCTCGTTGCTCACAGGTGATAGGATTTTGTCAAAACTGAGCATAGCAAGAACCAGTGAGATCACTGGAAAGGGTTAGTTGTGAGAAAAGCAAGTCAGAGTTAGGGGGGCAGAAGAGATAAGGGCCTGTATGTGTATATGCCTGAGGACATGCTTGAGTGTGTGTGTATGCATGGCATGCTGTGTGAATGCCATGCATGTGTATATGTGAGTATGCATGCCTGCACGCACGTAGCCCACATGCAGAAGCAGCATGCTTGTGCATATCCTATTGTGAGAATGCCCATGGACATGTGCGACTGGTTGTTTGTGCTTTTGTGCATGTGTGTGCACACACGCCATGTGTCTGTGTGTGCACAGGCAGGGTGCTCACAAAGAATTGACAGAGTAGCAGAGCTTGTGCAAGCTGCTGCTCAGGCCGTTCTGTAGCAGCACAATGTGGTCCCTGCTCACCAGCTCAGAGGAGCCCAAGCAAGCTCAGGGACTTAACGTTCACAAGCTCTGCTAATAAGCTTCCTGTCACTTTGACAAATATGTGAGAGAAACCACTTAAATCAAAGGATTGTTGGGGCTCGTGGTTCCGGAGGTTTCGGTTCGTGGTTGGCTCCGTTGCTGTGGCTCTACAGTGAGACAGACCATCATGGTAGAAGGGCATGCTGGGTCAGGGCAGCCAGGAAGGACTCTGGGGAGGGGGAGGTGAATCTTATTCCCCCAGAACAACTGTGGTGACCTACATTCCCTAATGAGGTCCAGCCTCCTCAGATTTCCACAGCACCCCCAGATGGAACCAAGCCCTCACCATGGCATGTCCAAACCACAGCACTAACTGTGCCTCAGTTTCCTCATCTGCAAAGGGGTGACCCTTGAATTTGCTGCCTGCTCCCCTCTGAACCATTTCAGGCTGACTCTGTGGGACTGGATTTCACAAGGTTTTATTCTGTGTGGGACTCTGGCAAAGCAGCGTGCCAGCCATTCAGAGTCCAAACTGGATAAAATCACCTCCATGCCCCTTGAAGACATGTTAGGACCATCATGGTCCTAAACACCCCCTCACACCCTCGGCTTCTTGCCCCAGGGCCCCTCTCTGAGGTGAAGAGTGGATGGCATCATGTTTCCAATATGAGTCTGTATTGAGTCTGAATTGTCTGTCTTCTCTAGGGCGAGAAAGGTCCACAAGGCCCAGCTGGCCGAGATGGCCTCCAAGGTCCTGTGGGGCTCCCTGGTCCAGCCGGCCCTGTGGGTCCTCCCGGAGAAGATGGAGATAAGGTACGGAGAACCCGGAGTGTGTGGGCGGGCAGACCATGAGGGCAAGGGCAGGGTTTTAAACAGCGTCTGATAGGCTATCGAGCGCTCAGCTGGCAGCACAGTGCTGTGTCCCTTCAGACCTGGTGTGAGGGAATGATTTTGAAGTAGCACACAAATAAATGGCAACAGATAAGACACTTGTGGGGAGCCTGGGAAGCGCTTGACTCCTGGGCAGCCTTTCTGTTGTCTGAGACGTGTACAGGTCATAGCCGGAGCTGAAGAAATTGCTCTCTGCTCCCTTCTAAACCTTTCAGACTAGGACTGTGTGGGGCTGGATTTAATGAGGTTTTACTCTGTGTCTATTTTTAAGTGTCTTCCCTTGAATGATGGAAGCTCTGTTTTTATTGCTATTTCTGATGCCATTACCGAGGAGCCTGGATTTTATACTTCATTAAGGAAAGGCTGTGCGGCTTAGCTCTACAGCCCTGCTCTCCATTTGTCAAAGCTCTCTGGTGATGTTTCTGACTTTGTCACCTCTGCACAGAGGACGTCTTAGTCTTGTGTCTCCACGTAGGAGGCGGTCCGATAGAAACACCAGAGAGGACGTCTACTAGCACCTTTGCAATAATCACAAAGGAAATAGAGGAGTGGGGGAGATGGTTCATTAGCAAAGCTCGTGCCTTGCAAGCATTAGGATATGAGTTTGGCTTCCCAAACACAGCCTTAAAAAGGCCAGGTGTGGTGGGGTGTCTATACTCTCAGAACCCAGGAGGTCCCTGGGGCTCTTTGGCTGGCCAGCCTAGTCGATGGAGGCAAGTTCAAGTCCACCGAGAAGCCTGTCTCAAAAAGGAGCAGATAATGAATAGGGGACTGCAGAGACAGCTCAGTGATTAAGGCACTGGCTGCTCTTGTAGAGGACCAGGGTTCAGTTCCCAGCATTCACATGGCAGCTCACACCTGCCTGTAACTCCAGTACCAAGGGATTCAACACCCTCTTCTGGCCTCCTTAGAGTATCCCATGCAGTGCACAGATATACATTCAGGCCATGTGCACACACATGAATGTGCACCTGCACACACATACACACACGTGCGCACGCGCACACACACACACCACCTATGTATACACGGACATCAAAATCAGAAAGGAAATCAAATTCACATAAGGAATGCTTTCTGTTCGCAAATCCTGGAACCATCTGGAGAGCAACTGTCGTCCGTCGCCAACAACGATTGCCCATAGAACCGAGTAGGGTACGTCCAGCCACTGGACTAACACGTCCTTCCTGTCCATCCCCAGGGAGAGATCGGGGAGCCAGGGCAGAAAGGAAGCAAGGGGGACAAAGGCGAGCAGGTAAGATTTGAGTGTGCTGGGGTGGCTGCTGAGAGCAGAGTGACCCTCTGTTCACACTCCATGATCCCAGCAAACTCCTGGGTCACACCAGTTAACGCTTCTTTTCCGAGAGTATCCAGTGTGCGTGCGTGGTCAGGGGTGTGAGAGAATCTCTTGGTGCAAGAACATGTGTCTTCCTGGGTGCCCATCACTGAGGACCACAGAGCTCTGCAGAGGCAAAGCATCCATTTGTCCCTTAGTCTTTCATACATTCAGGGATGCTGGGCTGAGGGCGCTGCAGCCCCATCACCCACACCAGCCCCCTCCAGTGCCATGAGTACCCTCCAAACTGGGAACTCACCTGAGCCTCAGACTGGTGTCAGTGTCATTACTCCTGAGGTGACATCAGAGGCGCTTGAGGACGGCGTACGAGCAAGGGTCATGGTGGAGTCCCTCCCTAGCTCAGCACTCAGGAGCTTTGAGACCTCTGATCCTTATTGTTTGAGGGGGGTTCTTTCTGTCACAACAGGGTGTGTGGTGATTGCTGAGAGGACACAGAGTGACCTTCCCTGTTTCTGTTACCCATAGCAATGTGATCTTGGTTGAGAGTCTTACCTGCTTCTCAGGGCCTACAACCTGGCTTGTGCCATGATGTTCATAGTTAGTGTTCCTCTGATGACTGGCACATTTGGGGACTAACTCTGATAAGTCACGTCTTGCACAATCTAGCCACTTCTGGAGACAGAATTGACCTACTCCTAGACTCATCTGCAATTCCAAAATAATTATGTCTCTGTTTGACCCCTACAGGGTCCTCCTGGACCTACAGGTCCGCAAGGCCCCATTGGACAGCCAGGTCCCTCGGTGAGTATCTGTGTTGAATGACGTAGCAAGGCCTACCTCTCAAGCCATTGTCTATTCTCACCCATGCTCTCACTTCCTTCTTCCAGGGAGCAGATGGTGAGCCAGGTCCTCGTGGACAGCAAGGCCTGTTCGGGCAGAAAGGAGACGAAGGCTCAAGAGGTTTCCCAGGACCACCAGGACCAGTGGGATTACAGGTAACCATGGAGCTTCCCGGCACCCCCCAGCAGAGGTGTCAGTACCTTGCCGGGCCCACTCTTGATGTCATTGTAAGAATGAGGAAACTGAGTCTCAGTAGTAGGGATTGGAAGATCTGCCAAGTACACACACACACACACACACACACACACACACACACACCCTTGTGTGATGCTCATACACAGTCACAACTGCTTCTGTGTTTACCGTGGGATACTGGGAAATGGTGAGCTGTAAGAAATGGATACAGGGTCCACATCTGAACAAACCACCTAGAAGTGACAGCCGTCCACCCAGTCCACCTCATCCAGTGCCCTCTAGGTTACCTGTTCTTACCTGCATGACTCAACTGGATGTCAATGAAACCCCAAGCTCACCATGTGCTGTAAAGCATAAACAAGCCTTTTGCTTTATGTTATGGGACATGTTAAATGTCATCAAATATTCTTTGAACACAAGACTTTATTTTGGAAAACACATTTTTTCGTTACTAGTGGTATTTGGCATATGGTGGGAACTTGATTTATCCGGAAGCGTCCCTGCTGCCGGATCATTAGGTTTATTGTTTTATGGGAAGCTGTCATAAGCTCTGGTGCTCATAAATCTTGGCATCCTCCTCTGATTATGTCCTCGGCCGTTTGAGCCCTGGAAGCAGGAAACCTCTTTCCATTGGAGGGAGACTCACAGAAACACATTTCAGGGCCTTCGGGAAACATCGCGGGAGAGGCAGTCATGGCAGTGACAATCACGAGAGCCATGTGTGTCTCTCACAGAGTAGTACCTCACCAGTTTCCTGTCCACAGGGTTTGCCAGGACCTCCAGGAGAGAAGGGTGAGACAGGAGATGTGGGCCAGATGGTAAGTAGCTGGGCCATCAGGACCCGATATGGCGCTCCTGGTTTACATTTTGGGGAAGGATGTTTACATCTGATCATGTTCAATGGCCTTTCTTCCTCCCAGGGACCTCCTGGCCCTCCAGGCCCCCGAGGACCCTCTGGAGCTCCAGGTGCTGATGGGCCACAGGGTCCTCCCGGAGGAATTGGCAACCCTGGTGCAGTAGGAGAAAAGGTAATGGCCAGCTACTTATCACAGTGTCTGCCTCATAGCTACATGAAGTGTAGTGCATTTGTTTGTGTGTACATGAAGTTCTGTGTGCCTGTGTGTGGATGCACTCGTGTGCCTGTGTATGAGCACACACAGGCACATATACGTGTGTGTTTGAGACACTCCCATTACACTCATCTTGAAACCTAACAGTAGATTCATGACCCCAAATTCGGAACGCTGACAGTGTTCATTTGTAACAACCATTTGCCAAATTCAAAGCAGTAACGCGCTCATTCCTCCCAGCCCCGCTCCCTCCCTCCCCTCTAACTGGGATCTGATAAAAGTCACATCTCTCCTGTACATTGAGCTTTCTGTGACCACCTCTCCCTAGCTCTGCTTTCTCACAGCCAAGGCCTCATCATTCCTCTGGTTAGTGTTAGGGCCTGGCTCTTGAGACTGACTGAACACAGTGAGCCCAAGGGTATGGGCACTAGTATGAGTGGATATGTGCATGCATGCTTGTGGATACACATGTGTGATTACATGTGTGGGCACCATGATGGTTTCAGCGTGAGACTGAGCTCCACAGGGTGCTGAGAACATGGCCTTAGGGGCCATCTTGGGCCCTGGGAGGGCTGGAAGCCTGCTGCCTGCCCTTCTTGAGGCTTGCTTCTGACGTAGGGCATTGCGAGCAGGACAGTTCGTCCTTGTTCTCTATGAAAAGAAAGGGAGAGATAAGTGGGAGTGGTTAGAGGCACCGCTGTCTCCGCCCCACAGCCTCACCCCTCACCACTAAGTCGCAGGCCCTCCTTCCTGTCTCAGTGCTGCAGGGGAAGACAACAGGTCTCTGCGTTTCTACTCTGCTTTGCTCCCTGTTAGCTGCTTTTCCCACTGCTGTGGCAAAACCCCTGAGGGAATCAATGTAAAGGCTGATGGGCTGGGCTGGCTCCTCACAGCAGGAAAGGCGTGGTGTCCGTGTGCTAGGGGGCTGGCTGATCACACCACATGTGTCAGGACGCAGAGCTAGCTCCTGCCTGGGACAGCCTTGAGTCCCTGTCCCTTGTGATCTGTACACTGCCTCCTCACATGTCCCCCTCAGTCCTCTCACGTCCCTTGTTCCTCGTTGGCTTCCCCTGCATTTCTGTGAGCTGTCAGGAGACAGTAACACTGACTCCACGGAGCCCTGGACACCAGATGCCCGAGGATAGGCAGGCAGAATGGGGCATATGGACCGGTGCTGGCAAATGGCCCATGCTCTGTCACTGTCAGTGAGGGAGCCTTCCAACTCTGACTTGTCTCCTCAGGGGGAGCCTGGTGAAGCTGGAGAGCCTGGTCTTCCAGGAGAAGGAGGTCCCCTGGTGAGTGTGGCCCTGGAGGAGCAGTGGGATGTGCCTGGTGGGAACACTGACAAGGCACTGGACCAGAAGCTTCGTCCTTGCCTCAGTTTCCCCTCCCATGACCCTACTATGTCGAACAACATAGAACTTGCTGGGCAAGTGTGGCATCTTGTGGGGGGTGAGCTCATGTGCATGCATGTGTACATATGCGAGGGCTGAGCACACACACACATGGGTACATACAAAGACCTCAGCAATGACCTCCCAACTCATGGCCACCGGTAACTGCCACCTGTGGTGCATAGGCCCCTTTACAGGCTGCTCTGAATGTGAGCATTGCTACCTTGTTGACTTAGCTAGCCTGAGAATACCCATGGTATGGTCACTGAGAGGACATCCCCAGAGTAGCTTCGGGCCTAGGAAACTTCTCGGGGGACTGAAGTGTCTCAGTTTCCTGCTGATTTCTGTGCCTGAGAACTATGGGGCTCCGTAACTGCCTTTCGCTAGTCCAGGAACCATGCTTACCTAGAGCTGAGTCTAGAAGACCAGGGCTCTTTGCCTGCTTGGTGGTACATATGGGGTTGCCATGGAGAATTGGAAGCAAGAACAGTACCATTCCCATCCTGGGGCCCAAGAGGTGCTGGGAAGGGGCTGGCAGGGAGAGGCGGCAATAAGTCCATGGATAGTCCATTGCAGGCCAGCGCCTTTCAGTGGTCTCTGAAAACTGAACCATCTTCCTCTCCAGGGACCTAAAGGAGAAAGAGGGGAGAAGGGAGAGGCTGGCCCCTCTGGTGCTGCTGGACCCCCCGGACCCAAAGGCCCTCCTGGAGATGATGGTCCCAAAGGCAGCCCTGTGAGTAATGCTAGATGCTGTGGCATCTGGGCAGCGTCCATTCCGAGTCCTTGTAGCGCCTGCATCGTGTGCTCCCTGATCTAGGAACAGCTGTGCGGATGCTGTGTGGTTTTGTCTACTCTAGCGGTTCCCACAGCAGCTGCTGATGAAGCTGCGAGGGGAGCAGGAAGCACGGGACGGCAGCCGGTGGGGCCTCCCGAGGAAGGGTCTCAGACCCAGGGTACCGTTTTTCCATGCTGGCCCCAATTTTGCATCAGAAGCCGAAGGGGCCAGCAGAGTGGATGTGTGGGTAGGACGCCTTAGTCTCAAGCGAGCGGACGCCTGCCCTCCCTAGTCTCAAGCGGGCAGAAGGCTGCTGCTCTGCGCCTGCCTCGTGGGCAGGTTTGCTCTTCTGTGGACACTTCAGGATAGGGGCCTCCTAATCAAAAGTGCTGGAGGTGTTGCCACTGTCCCTTGTCTGGTGACCTGGGTTGTGGTAGGGCCCAGCAGGGCGTGCCAGGCTGCTGACAGTTTGTGTCTCTCTTCTCAGGGCCCTGTGGGCTTTCCTGGAGATCCTGGTCCTCCTGGAGAGCCAGGCCCTGCAGTAAGTATCCATCGCATTCCTGCTATGTCTTGTCATCCCCAATTTGCTTGCTTCCACCCCTCTGCCGGGGTTTCTCGGGCACAGCCCCCTCCAGGTTGTCCCTGTTCCAATGCCCAGCTTTCGGGTGCAGTAGGTGCATTTGGGCTTGGGAAAAGACTTGAGGATACACTATGGCTGGAGGGTGAGCTTGAGCTCTCCAGTGGAAACAACTCTCTTGTTCCCACAGGGTCAAGATGGTCCACCTGGAGACAAAGGGGATGATGGTGAACCTGGACAGACGGTGAGTGCATGGTCTGATGGCTTCCTGGTAAAAGCATCCCTGCTTTCTTGGGTCCTTATGAGAAGCCCAGACTTAGATCCCTCTTGACTGTGGCCAGAGCTTAGTTAGGATCCTCAAGGACCTAATGAAGAATGGGACCCTTCCTCCGAGGGAAAGATCCATGTGCAGTTCCACCAGGGGACCTGTACAGAGTTCTAAGGGCTCTGCAAAGTGTTCCAGATCTCACCCTGATTGTCAGCCAAAGCTGCTCAGCAGGTGTGCACCTTCTCTCATGGGCCCAACAGCCCTGTGACTGAGGCCACTTGGGCTTGAGCAGCCGTTTTAATGCAAGGTGGTCTCATCGGAGTGGGACCAGGCGACCCTTTCAGGTCGCTGGGCTGGACTGTGCCTTCCTCTGCGGTCTCTCCAGCCCACCCCCAGGGTGGGTCCAGCTCCTAGGGATGACTGCCCAGGTCTTTTTGCTGCTGATGTGATAATGTTACAGGCTGGGGGCATTAAAACAAGATACATGTGTTTGGCTCAGGGTGCTAGAGTTGAGGAAGTAAAGACAGAGGGTGTGTCTTGCTGTGACTTAACAAGGCAAGAACAGATATGGTGGCTTGTGCTTCTGATTCCAGCACTTGGAAAACTGAGGCAGGAGGACTGCTACTAGTTTGAGGCTTCCTGATCTACATAATGAGTTCAGTGTCAGCCTTGGTGTTAGAGTAAGACCCTGTCTCAAATAACAGTAATGTAGTGGACGTCATCCTAAAGTGATGGGGAAGAGGAGACGGGCTTAATCGCCCTTTTATAATTAGCTCATCTCTGTGACAGTGGCATAGACCATGCATGCTCACACGACCTGATTACCAGGCCCCTCCTCTCAACACCAGCACAGGGGCAATTTGATATGGATTTCAGAGGCCATTCAAACTGTATCACTGACCCAAGGGCAAAGACCGGTGTCACTGATCTGAGACAGGCAGCAATGGAAATGAAAGGCTAGGGACACAGGCTGCCAGCCAGATGTACCCTGTACATGCGTCCAGCTTGGTCCTTCTGCAAATGAGATGTAGGCAATGGCAACATGGTGGAGACCAGACAGCCAGAGTGTTAGACTCAAGTGTGCCCCAGGGGGATCTCTTTGTTCAAGATGCAGCAACAGGGATGTGATTTGTCCTCTCTGAGTGCCACCAGCAGGATACAGAGCTTCCTATGCTCGGGTGCAGGACTAGCCATAGAAAGAACTGACTCTCCACGTGTTTCCTTGGCTGTGGGCACCACAGCCCTGAGCCCTGATGTGACAGATTTCTAATGCTCTCTGTTCTTTCCCCAACCAGGGATCTCCAGGCCCTACTGGTGAACCTGGTCCATCTGGACCTCCAGGAAAGAGGGTAAGTCCTTCCGCCCACCCCCTCCCCACTTACTGGCTGCTTCCTGCACAAAGCCTTCTATCCCTTGTGGACCCCCCAGTATGCCCCACATGGCCCCAAGGAGGGTATGTGGGACATATTCATAAGGTCGCAGATCTGTGGGAACACAACCGAGTGGAGCAACCTCTGAGGAAGTAAAGTCTAGACCAGCGTGTTTAGGATGGCCAGTGACTGGCCTGTTTATACCACCATGGGAGAGAAAACTTTCAAAAGCTGCACTCTCCTTGTCCCTAGACCAGCCTATGTGAACAAAGGAGATCCAAGACAAGGAACAGATGTCTGTGTTGCAAGCCCCCGTGGATGCCTGGACTGTGGTGCTTGAGCCAAAGAGTGTAGAGGCGGGAGAGGGCCTTCTAGACAGCAGGCATCTAGGGCTTCCTTAGATCCACTAGAGGCTTTGCAGGCTCCTGGAGTCATGGGACCCCATCTTCACTGGAGAGCGGTCCAGGTTGGCCTCACGCTCTGCAGCTCTCCCTGGAGTCTGGGCCTGGTCTCCAAGCTCACACTCAAGTCTTAGTTGTTATATTGTTTTTCTAGGGTCCCCCAGGCCCTGCAGGCCCTGAAGGCAGGCAAGGGGAGAAAGGAGCCAAGGTAAGTTACCCTGGTGGTTGTGACCTCTGTGGGCCTGAAGGAGGTTGGGGCAGTGGTAGGGCACAGCCTGAGGGCAGAGGAGCCATGGAGGCAGAGGGAGGAGGCAGAAAGAGCCAGGGTGAGGTCACACGCAGTTTTTGACCTGTGACAGAGGGGGAGGCAGTGCACACAGGCACCCAGCCTTAGGACACTATGACGGCCGTTACCTGAGTGGCACATGTGGTGCCCAGCCCTGGAACATCCAGCCACGCTTGGCTTGCAGTGAGGTGACCTGTAGGCCTGGATGTGAACACTCGCCGTGTTTCTCTGAGACTTAGTGAGCTCTGCATCTGGGTGCCGTGTGGCACAACACCTGGTAGGTGACCTGCAGTTGTAGTTGCCACACTCAGCAGGAGTCAGGGAGCCACTGCGTTTGGACGTTAACAGGCTGGAGAGCAGGCCAAGTCAGTCTCCACGGGAAGGAGGGAAGTGACACCACCCAGGACATGGGGGCAGCTCTGAAGCCCCCCCAGGGGTCTTGGGCTGAGTGCCTTGAGCCTCTGAACATCCACGTCCTGCTCCGCAGGGAGAAGCCGGCTTAGAAGGCCCTCCTGGGAAGACTGGCCCTATTGGCCCCCAAGGGGCCCCTGGGAAGCCTGGCCCCGATGGTCTTCGTGGGATCCCTGGTCCTGTGGTAAGTGGCCCAGAAGGCCTAGGGTGAGGGAGAGATGCCGATGGGGGCACATAATCACATCAAGGAACTCTGTTTCAGGGTGAACAAGGCCTCCCAGGATCCCCAGGCCCTGACGGCCCACCTGGCCCCATGGTGAGCAGCATGAAATGTCAGTGTGTCTGTATAGGTAGGACGCTGGAAACCCCTGGGGCAAGGACACTGACTCTCCCTTCTCCTGCAGGGTCCTCCAGGACTCCCTGGACTCAAAGGAGACTCTGGTCCCAAAGGTGAAAAGGTGAGCTAAGACTTGGGGGACTCCAGTATTGCAATGACAACGCCATTAACTCATTCGCTGGAGTTATTGACCTACCACTAAGTTCCTGATGTGACTGTTGTGGGACCTGGAGGTAGAGCGACAGAGGAGAAATGTTCATGTCTGTATCAAGGTGTCCTAAAAGCCCCAGAATTGACAAGAACTTTCTAGAGGCCCTGGTAGCCTCATTAGCTGATGGAGACTTTCCTCCTCCTCACATTGATTTATTTGTAAATAAACAGCTGGTAAGGCAAACAGCTGTTCGCAGAGTAGGCAGGAAGAACCACCCTTTCCCACTTTGATATCCTTCACCAATATAATGGAAGCTGGAAGTCCTTCCAGAACATTCTAGAAACTCACGTGAAGCCAAAAGATATACATATAAGGCAGATATAGTGGCTTTTTTTCTTGAAAGATGTTTAAATGAATATAATATCCTTAGCACTCGGCAGTTTCCGTTCAGTGTCAGCCCTTGTAGGAAAGGGGTGCATGCTTACCAAAAGTCAGAAAGTTTACTAAGTAAAAGGATAGACACAAACTATCCCTCAGAGTATGGCCTCTGGGCCTGTGAACCCCTATATGCTTCTTTTTGGTTGTTACTGGTTTCAGTGGGGTACAGGGATGGTGGTGATACTGTGGAACTGTACTGGTAGTATGGCTACCTCTCACACCTTTATTTTCTCACAGGGCCATCCAGGCCTGATTGGACTCATCGGACCTCCAGGTGAACAGGGTGAAAAAGGTGACCGAGGACTCCCAGGCCCCCAGGGCTCATCTGGTCCCAAAGGAGAACAGGTACATACAGTAACTAACATCCTCAGGGACGCTTCCAGCTTCCCTCGGAGCTGGGAGGATGCCCTCGCTGCCAGGGAATCCCAAACCTTGCTTTGCAGATGGGGGCCAGTGGGGGCTTGGAGTTAGCTAGGTCCCCAAGGCACAAGTTAGAACACACCCCTACCCCAGGTCCTGGGTGGAGGCAGGAGCTCACTGCTGTGATGCCCCTTGGAACTAGAGGGCCTTAGCGGTAAGATCTTTTCCTCTTCTCCACTGAGTAGCCGGGCAGAAGGCTGGTGTGGGTCATCAGTCACGTTCACTGTGGAGAGAGGTAGAGCAATGGCCGCTAGCATCTCTGCCTTCACCTTGCCACAGATGCCCACATCCGACCCCAGACTTCCCCTGGGATCCACTGTAGTTGGTTAATGTGTAGTCTTGCTGAGCCATGGTAGAGGAAACCCTGGCTGCCTGTTGATTTGACTGTAGGGAGACTCCCAATCTGAAAGAAGTGTAGTTTGTGTATGGTGCGGGCGAAAAGACACACATGTGTTTGATGGGAGTCCCCAGTCACTGTAGTACCCCCAATATGACAGTATTCACACCTGGGGATCTTTGCTTATGCACACGTAGGTGTAGTCTCTAAAGACAACAGGATGTGGGGGTGACAGGAGCCTCTGGAAGCTGAGCAAGCAGTAGACACCCCCCTTTAGGTCATATTGAAAGTAGATGGTGTCAAAGGATGAGGCTCTCTTGGAACCCTGCCCCAGCCACTATGGGCAGTCTTCTGGCTGCCAGGTGTCACCATGCTTCGGTGACACTCTTAGACTTGTGTGGCTCTGTACGTGGAGGCTCACTTCTCCACACGGGTGTGGTCTTGGCCATGTTGCACGTAGAAAGTGTTTCCAGGGTGCAGGCTGGAGAAGCTTGGGACACACTAGGGACTCAGAGGCCAGGCCCTGTGAGCTAACAGTGGAGGGAGACCCTTTGTTCTCTGTGAGGCTGGGCTGTCAACTGTGGCTGGACAGAGCAGGCTCTGGGACACTCACTGCTCTCCCTCTGTCCATTATGGTGAGACCTAGCACCATGAGCCGAGATATGTGACCAAGACGGGCAGGAGGATGGAAAAGGCTTTTCTGAGTTCTAGTAGCATATGGGGTAGTGGTATCTTAGTTTACAGTTTCTTCCAGCCTGGGCTCAGGGAGCTGGGCCTGGAGACTTCAACCTGTAGCTGATGTTCTGATGAATTAGTTCAGTCCAGTGAGGAGCCATGTTGGCTCTCACTGTGAAGTAAGTTCTAGAGTAGTTGACTACAGCTGCCTGCCAGGCTTCAATGTCCCTGGAAAGGGGACTATGAGGGAGCCTGGAATCATAGTAGGGTCACAGGGGTCACCTTTCTCAATTTCACCCCATCTAAAAACTAGTAACCTATATTTTCTGCTTCTTTCCAGGGTATCACTGGTCCTTCCGGCCCACTTGGGCCTCCTGGGCCCCCTGGCTTGCCGGTATGTATCTGGGACAGGTACAGGGGATACAGGACCCAGTAGATACAAGGAGGAAAGGGAGACGCATGAGTCAGACTAGAGAACCACACGGAAGTCAGGAGAGATGACTGAACCAGGGTTGATTTGTATATAATGCAACACTGGGATTCTTAGAGCAGGAGAGGGGTTGCTGGTTCCCTAGTTGCCTTGCCAATGGGGAAGGGAGGGGGGAAACTTTAATGCCTGAATCCCCTCCCAAAGAATGGAGACCCTTCTGTAAGCATGTGGAGTGAGGGAGGGGAGTGTCTTGGCTCTCCTCTTCCTAATGTGCATGGGCCAGGCCAGCCCAGTCCAGGTTTGAGAATGAGGGACCTGCCCTCTCGGCAACCTGGCCTAAGCCTCCCTTGTGTTTTGAGGGTCCAGAACCCCAATGTCACTCCCAAATCCCTGAGTTCTGCCCACTCTGACCTGTCTGTGTCAGATGAGCCTTGGGCCCACATGGCCATGGATGTCCAGCAGCTACCTTGTTTGAGGCCTCTCGGGAGCCCAGAACTCCCTTGACTCTTAATGTCCAAATGTCATTCTCAAGCTGAGCATTGTGGGCAGGGTGGCTTCTCATGAGACATCCTCTGCCTCCTGGGGGAGGGGGGTGAATGGCAGCTACAACCAGCCCTCCTCCTGCCCACCAGCCAAGCACATGCAGAGAGGAGTCAGGAGGTCAGGGACAGGCTGAGCAAAACTAGGACCTGTTGGCCCCTCTGTTTACTGACATTCTGACCTCTGCTCTCTGCAGGGCCCTCCAGGTCCCAAAGGTGCTAAAGGCTCTTCGGTAAGTGACTGCCTTGAGGGGACCCATGATACCTGAGACTACCTGGGAGGTGGGAGAAGAGTCCCCTGGGAAGTGGGTTACCCTGGACACTCACCCTGACCCGTGGAGGTCCTCTCCACCCCTCCTGTCTTCTTCCTCATTCCATTGTGTGCTGTTGATGCTCCTTGTTTTCTCTGGGGGAAAAAACGATTCTATTGCTCTACTGATGGCTGCTTTCAAGTATTATTTTAATTGTAGCTGTTCATGGGGTACAATGGGATAAAATCAATTTAGACTCACTAGCTCTGCCAGATCCTGCAGCCTCTTCTCATGTGTTCATGGGCCTGAGTGTGGCTTTTCACTATGTGCATATGACATGTCCTCATCAAATTGGAGTCATCGGTGTTTCTGTGTCTTTATTGTGACCCTGTGTTTGGAGCCCTCCAGCCTCTCTAGGTATTCGTGAAACCTAGCAGGCTAGTACACGTATCAGTAGTCCCTCCACTGTACTGCAGAACACCACGTTTTATTCCTTCTGTGTAACCGTGTTTGGTACCCGACGTCCATCCTCCCTCCCTCCAATGTCCCAGCCCCCTGTCCCTTCCCCCAGCCTCTGGAAATCAACCATTCTGTCATCCACTTTCTACTAACTATTACTGTTCAAATCATTCTACACTGTATTTCTGGTAATGTTCACTTGAGCGGGCCCCTGGTTGCCACCACCCCTCCCCCATGTCCCCATGCACAGGACAAGATGTCCTTCTTTATGACTGAGCAACACTCCTGTGTGCACGATGCATTCCTTATTCACCAGCTGGGGCACCTAGGCTGATCCCACGTCTTAGCAGTAACCACACGGGTGTGGGAATGTCACACAGACACAGTGACTTTGTGTCCTCGGATGCACACTTAAGAGGTAGAACAGCGAGATTGCGTGGCATGTCCATCTGCGTTTAGGTTCCACCATGACAGAGCTATTCTGCATTCCCACCAGCAGAGTCCCATCCTCTCTGGCACTTCTCTCTGTCTCTCTGATAATGGCCCTGCAGGCTGAGGTGGGATGGAGTCGTGCCGAGGGTCGGGTTTACATTGCCCACTGTGGCCCATGCAGCTGGCATGCTTCCAGAAACCTGTTTGTTGGCATTTGCATTTCTTTGTGACACCCGTCTCCTGTCTTTCTGAATGAGCCCAGCCCGTCCCAGACCAACACATCTGGGCTGTTTGCTCCCGTCTGAGGAGGGTGCCAGCCTCAGGAGCAGAGAAGTCCTGCCTGCCTTGTCCCTTTGTCCTGACATTTCCAGAGCTAGTAGGACTATCAGATCACAGAAGGCCCCATGACCAAGTTTGTTGCTTTCTCCCCAGGGTCCCACTGGCCCGAAGGGCGAAGCAGGCCACCCAGGACTCCCTGGCCCACCCGTAAGTAGTCTGTGAAGTGTGGAGGGAGACTGAGGGAGCGTCTGTTTGTGGGACTTGCTAAGTGACATGCAGTGAAACTCAGATGGATATCCAGAGGCTGGTCCCTGGGGCTGGGGGGGGCGGGCAGAGGGATCTGTGAGTGTCACAGATCTGTCCAAGGAGCTCATGGGCTGACTTGCCCTGAGTAGGATTATTGGCCAGAGACTGGGGGAATGTGCGTGTGCATGTATGTATGTGGCTATATGAAACTATATAAGTGTGCCATATGACTGTACATGCATATGTATGCTTAGTTATGTGTGTATATATTCATATGTGTAAGTAATAATTTGTGCCTCTATGCATGTTTGTAAGTATGGACTTGTGCATTTGTGTGTACCCTATACATAGGTGTGGAAATATACATGTATAAGCATGCACATATGCATGTGCAAGTGCATGTTTATGTTTCTCTGTGCTATAAGCATGTGTGTGAACTTTCATACATATGTGTATTTAGGTGTGTAAATGTGTATATATGCTTATATGAACATGAATATATAGATATGTTATATATGCTTCTCTATGTATATGTATATCTATTATGAATATTTATATGTATGTACATATAAGAACATGCATTCAGGTATTTGTATTTCTATCTGTGTATTGTACACATACATATATGTGTGTGAATATGCATTGTAAAAATGAAAGTGTTTTTCTATATGTATATGTGTGTGCATATATATGAACATGCATTTGTATATACACAGATGTGCATATGTATGTACATGTGTGTGAGCATGCATTTGTGTACATATACAGGGGCATATTTGGGAACATGATATATGTAGCCATGTATATGTATTTTTGTGCTTATGTATATGAACATGAATATGTAGTGTATATTTCTGTATGTACATTGCATATGTGCATATATGTATTGTGAACATGCATATGCGTATGGGCATATGTATTTATGTATTTGTGTATGTATGTGTTTGTCAACATACCTATGTAAATGTAGAGGCATGTTTCTATACATGTATTGTGAATATGCGTGTGTGTTTCTGTATGTGTGTATTGTGCATGTATGTATATATACATGAATATGAATGTATAAATGTGTAGGTATTTCTAGATTGCATATATGTGTGTGAACATGAATGTGTGTGTTTCTGTCTGTGCATTTTGCATATGTATGTGTATGAACTGTCATGTATAAACATCCAGCAAGTTTCTATGTTAGTATTATGATGTGTGTTGTTGTGTGACAGAACAACAGACAAAGCTAAGGCCTTGAGCCACTGCACTCTGGAGGAGAGGCAGGGCCTTGAGCTCAGGGAAGAAAGGCACTTAGCCCAGGGAAACACGTGGTTGGTGGATGGGCATGGAATATTTAGGATATAGGAAGGAGAGAACAGTGTGGGCTGGCAGTTGTCCTTCCAACACAGGACACACAGCCCGAGAGACCCAGGCTTCTGGTTCAGGGTCATCTTAACTCTGCCCGTGGATCAGGGCCATCTGTGTCTTCTTCTAGCATGACTGATCTCTTCTGCACCCCAGGGCCCTCCAGGTGAGGTCATCCAGCCCCTGCCAATCCAGGCATCCAGGACTCGGCGGAACATCGATGCCAGCCAGCTCCTAGATGATGGGGCTGGGGAGAGCTACGTGGACTATGCAGATGGCATGGAGGAGATCTTTGGCTCCCTCAACTCCCTGAAGCTGGAGATTGAGCAGATGAAACGGCCACTGGGCACACAGCAGAATCCCGCCCGTACCTGCAAGGACCTACAGCTCTGCCATCCTGACTTCCCAGACGGTGAGCCACAGAATGGGAGACTGGGCCAGTCAGAGCCACCTCCTCACTCACCGTCTGTGGGAGGAAGAGTAGGCTACACCCTTTATTAATTAATCTGCAGGAATGTCAGAGAGGGAGATGACACAGAGGAGGCCAGATAGGGGGCGAGCTCCAAGACTTCAAGGCTGATCAGGCATTTTCCTGCTTTACTCTGAGCCTCATTGCTCCTGATCTGTAAAATGGGGGCAGAAACATGCCCTGTGAGTGGTAAAAGGACAGTGTGTAAGATGCCTTTGGCCTGGCACTTAGCTAGCCCTCGAGGCGGCTTGATGTCAGGATGTGCAATGCTTGGGAAAGCAGGTTTTAAATACTGGCAGAACCATGGATCCCCACTCTCACCCTCTTTAAACCAAAGGCCAATGGAGCAGTAAACCAAAACCAGCTTGCCTTCCCCCAGGAAACAGGGACATTCCTCCTGCGGGATTTGTGGGGTGTCTGATTCCAGTAAATCCTGACTCCACACTTGCGAATTTCCAGGTTCTTCTCAGGATATTCTCTGTCTTTCTGTCGTTCATCCATCAAGGTCGGCAGACACTTACACAGTGTGCGGCATGCCCAGCCGTGCTCTTGTGAACAGGGCTGTCCGCCAGTCTTTATGCTTCCCGCAGGAAACGGAAAGTGCTGTGATATGGGGAAGGAAGGCTGTGCCGGTGGCTTTATGGCCCTGGCTGTGCGTTTAACAGCTAGGCTGAGATGTTGCGGTGGCTTCTGCTACTGTCCCGGGAGCCATTCTCATGAATCTGCCTCCCTGCCTCTGAAATCCAGGTGAATACTGGGTCGATCCCAACCAAGGGTGCTCCAGGGACTCCTTCAAAGTCTACTGCAATTTCACAGCCGGAGGATCCACGTGTGTCTTCCCTGACAAGAAGTCTGAGGGGGTGAGTGCCCGTGTCTCCTGCCTGCTTCCGCTCGGGCCAGGGCTTCAGTATTTCTTGTGTGTATGCAGCTTTAAGGCTAAAAGCCAGAGGCCAATCATTTTCAGAACCAAGGGCATTCTTCTGGAAGTTGCTCTTAAGTGATCCTAAGATGAGATATTTCAGGCATGCAGGTGCAGCCTGGGACTGTCCCGTGAGAGGCAGCCTTCCCTGCAGCTCAGCAGCACCACAGTCCACACCAACCTAAAACTTTGGGGACAAGACATCTGGAAGCCGCTTGTCCCTAAACTGCACATGCCGGCTTATTTCTGTGGGGTTTATCCCAGGCCTCTGAAGTGCCAGGCAGGGGTGTGTGTGAAGAATCTGCAGGCAGAAGCTGGGCTCTGACCCAAGAGATGTTGTGGGGTGTCAATCAGTCCCCCTGTGGCCTTTCAGGGGCTCAGTCATGTAGGAAGGATGTTTTTTAATTTTTTATTTAAATTATAAATAAGCTTCCTTCACATGTCAATCCCAGCTCCCTTTCCATCCCCTCCTCCCCCACCTCCTACCCCGTTCTCCCTCCACTCCCCAGGGAGGATAAGGTCTTCCATGGGGGATCTTCAAAGTCTGTCATATCATTCCGGGCAGAATCTAGGCCCTACCCCATGTGTCCAGGTTGAAAGAGTATCCTTCCGTGTGGAATGGGCTCCCAAAGTCCATTTGTACACCAGGGATAAATGCTGATCTACTACCCGAGGCCCCATAGACTGCCAAGGCCTCCTCACTGACATCCACATTCAGTGGGTCTGGATCAGTCCCATGCTGGACTCTCAGTCACTATCTGGGGCCCATGAGCTCCCCCTTGTTCAGGTCAGCTGCCTCTGTGGGTTTCACCAGCCCAGTCTTGATTCCTTTGCTCATCACTTCTCCATCTCTATAACTGGGTTCCAGGAGTTCAGGTCAGTGTTTAACTGTGGGTGTCTGCCTCTGCTTCCATCAGCCACTGGATGAAGGCTCTAGGATGGCATATAAGGTAGTCATCAATCTCATTATCAGGGGGAGGGCATTTAAGGTAGCCTTTCCACTATTGCTTAGATTGCCAGTTGGTGTCATCTTTGTAGATCTCTGGAAATCTCACTAGTGCCAGAACTCTCCTCAAACCTATAATGACTCCCTCTATTATGGTATCTCTCATCCTACTCACCTCTGTTCTTCCCCTGACTCAAATTTCCTGCTCCTCCATGTCCTCCTCTCCCCTCCTCTTCTCCCCACCTCTTTATTCCAGCCCTCTCCCCCTCCCCTCTCTCAATGCTCCCAATCCCCTCAGGAAATCCTGTCCCATTCCCCTTCTCTGGGGTACCATGCATATCTCTCTTAGGTGCCTCCCTGTTTCTCAGATTCTCTGGTGGTGGGATTGTAGGCTGACAGTACCCTGCTCCATGTCAAAAATCCATATATGAGTGAGTGCATATCATGTTTGCCTTTTTGTGACTGGATTACCTCACTCAGGATGGTTTCTAGTGCCATCCATTTGCTTCCAAATTTCAAGATTTCGTTGTTTTTTTTTCTGCCGAGTAGTACTCCATTATGTAAATGTACCACATTTTCTCTATCCACTCTTCAGTTGAGGGGCATCTAGATTGCTTCCAGGTTCTGGCTATTGCAAATAATGCTTCTATGAACATAGTTGAACAGATGTCCTTGTATGAATGTGCATCTTTTGGTGAAGAGTGGAATTGCTGGATCTTGAGGTAGACTGATTCCCATTTTCCTGAGGAATCTCCATACTGATCTCCAAAGTGGCTGTACGAGTTGGCACTCCCACTAGCAGTGGAGGAGTGTTCCCCTTTCTCCACATCCTCTCCAGCATAAACTGTCATTGATGTTTTTGATTTTAGCCATTCTAACAGGAGTGAGATGGTATATCAGAGTTGTTTTGATTTGCATTTCCCTGATGGCTAAGAATGTTGAGCACTGTCTTAAGTGTCTATCAGCCATTTATTTTAGACTCCTTTGTTGAGAATTCTCTATTTAGTTCTGTACCCCACTTTGTAATTGGATTATTTGGTGTTTTGGAGACTAGCTTCTTGAGTTCTTTGTAAATTTTGGAGATCAATCCTCCGTCAGATGTGGGGTTGATGAATATCTTTTCCCATTCTGTGGGCTGCTGTTTTGTCTTATTGACTGTGTCCTTTGCCTTACAGAAGCTTCTCAGTTCAGGAGGTCCAATTTATTAATTGTCAATCTCAGTGTCTGTGCTACTGGTGTTATGTTCAGGAAGCCATCTCCTGTACCAATTCATTCAAGGGTACTTCTGACTTTCTCTTCTAAGAGGTTCAGTGTGGCTGGATTTATGTTGAGCTATTTGATCCATTTGGATTTAAGCTTTGTGCATGGCGATAGATATGGATCTATCTGCAGTCTTCTACATGCCAGCATCCAGTTAATGCCAGCACCATTTGTTGAAGATGCTTTCTTTTTTCCATTGTATAGTTTTAGCTTCTTTGTCAAAGATCAGGTGTTCATAGGCGTGTGGGTTAACATCAGGGTCCTCAATTTTATTCCATTGGCCTACCTGTCTATTTTTGTGCCAGTACCAAGCTGTTTTCATTACTATAGCTCTATAGAAGAGCTTGAAGTCAGGGACGGTGATGCCTTCTGAAAGTTCCTTTATTGTACAGGGTTGTTTTGGCTCTCCTGGGTCTTTTGTTTTCCCATATAAAGTTGAGAATTGAGTCAGTGGAAATTTGCATGCACCTGGTGGGTATGGAAATTGTAGAGGCTACTCTGGCCTAGGACAGGCAGGAAGAAAATGTACCTTTTCCACATCTGAGAGGGTGACCATGCTTCCAGCCTCAGCGTCCCTCCATCCATCCAGGGATGGCTCAGAGTTTCCCCATGCCATTTTCTGGAGGCCACAGGTGTGTGTGTGTGTGTGTGTGTGTGTGTGTGTGTGTGTGTGTGTGTGTGTGTAAGTGTGGCACCAGCGCCACAAGCAACTCCAAGGTATCAGGGAAAGAAAGACCAGACGTCCAGCTGTTTGTACTAATAGAATGCATGTGTTGCCTTTATTGCCAGGAGAGTGTGTGTGCGTCTTCATTGCAAGTGCTAAGAGGTCTCTCTCTTGTAGGAGGGAGGAGCTTTTTATACAAATTTACAGCACAGTGGAAAAAACCCCAGGTAGAACAGATCGTTGTTTTCCTCCTGCTGGATGTTGATGTCAGAGGGTCAAGGCCAGGGCAGTAAGCCAGGACTAGAAAACAGAAAGCACTTGGACTGGAAAACAAGTTGCACTTGTAGGCTGACCAGCAACTCACAGAGACCCCATGGGGCTGGGGCCCAACATGTAAGCATTCCACACCATAGCTTCCTTGTGACCCTAGCACCTGGGAAGTGTGTTCCTGCTGGAGGGAGCATAAGGGGTCCCTGGGGCTGTCATCCCCACTTTGAATCACACTGTGGAAGTGGTAAGCTCCAGCATACCCTTGGGTCACACTCAGCTGGTGGCAGCAGAAACAGAGCAGGGGTGAGAGATTCATAAGCTTCTGTCATCCATCCAGCCATCCCTTTCTGCATCCTGGTTTCCTGGACTCCCCAGGACAAGCCAGGGCTTTGCAGAAATCTGAGATTTCTTGTATCCCTCCATCTGGCCAGAGCTGGGGGTGGGATTGAACCAAGAGACCTTTCTCACCCCTCCTGGTGCTCTGCTCTCTACAGACAGCCTCTGGTAGCCAAGCTGTCTCTGGGCCTGTGTCAGATGGAGGCTTCACAAACACTGCATTTTGGCTGTTTGCTTTTTCCACATGAATGGACTGCAGGCTGGGCCAGGGATTCCCTGCCCAAGATGAAGAGACCCTCTCCTAGTGGCACTGAGACACAGGGCTCCAGGACCTGGAGCAGGTTTGAGCAGAAGTCCGAAGTGAAGCCTGTGCTTGGTCCCTAACTTGGGAGGAACTGCTCCCACACAGTTTGAGTGTGGCCTTGACTGGCAGGTCTGAAAACCACAGGCAAAGGTGGAGGAGTCTGGGGGATCCTGCAGACATGACACCTCATTTCTCCAGCAGTCTATTCTGTCCTAGCACCCAGACAGCTCAAGGGGGGCGATCAATAGTGACTCATATCCCTACCTCTCCCCCACCAACCATGGGTCTCTAAAGAACTAGATCAGCCAGCACTCGGGAGGCAGAGGCAGGTGGATCTCTGTGAGTTCGAGGCTAGCCTGGTCTACAGAGCGAGTTCCAGGACAGCCTCCAAAGCAATACAGAGAAACCCTGTCTCAAAAACAACAACAACAAAAGAACCAGATATCCCAGTGTGGGCCCAGGCTGTCTGGAGAACTCTTTCCACATCTACAGTGAGTCAGTCCAGGGACACCACCTCCCACCCTTACCCTACAGAGGCTCAGGTACCCACTAGACCGTAAGTGATACTCCGCTAGGAAGGCACAGAAACAAGCCCATGATGAAGGGTGTCAACTTAGCCCTGAAATTCCAAGAGGCTTTGAGGCAGCCTTTGTTCCCCTGTCATGGCTTATTACCTAACGGTGCCAAGGACCCCAAAGACCACAAGTCCCCAGTGAAGATTTTAATACCACGCACGCGCGCGCGCGCGCACACACACACACACACACACACACACACACACACACACAGTGGCGCTGTCTATGTTGCTGCAGTATGAGGTGGCAGCTGAGTAGCCCGAGCCGCCGCATCTCAAAATTGAGAGTGGAATGAGATGCCCACACATTTCTAGCCCAGCCATCATGCTGGCTGAAACTTTCCTGTCACTGACATGAGACATCTGCATTTGTCACTTACTGCCCCACTAGTACCTTGCAGCAGTCACTTGACGCCCTGGTGCACACAGGCTGATAGGGCGCGGTCTGTAGCCCTGACATGACTGTGTTGTCATGTACTTGACCACTGTAGTGCTCCAGAGCTGTTGTCATCCCACGTCATGGGGGTAAGGCCTCAGCTCTTAGGGGGAACCACAGGGGCTGGGAGAGCTGGGCAGGTCTGTCTGCAGAGGCAGAAGTAACCCTTTCATTTTCTGTTTCTCTCCCTCCCCACCATCCCTGCCTGATGTGTAGGCCAGAATCACTTCTTGGCCCAAAGAAAACCCAGGTTCCTGGTTCAGTGAATTCAAGCGTGGGAAACTGGTAAGGTGACCCCACGTCCTCTGCGGTTGTCACTTTAAACCCGCCATCTCCTATCTTGCAGAGTAAAATGGCCCGCTGGCCCAAAGAGCAGCCTTCCACCTGGTATAGTCAGTACAAACGGGGTTCCCTGGTAAGTGGCCGCCTCGCGCTGCCTGCTTGCGGCTCGGCCTGGCTCTGGTGCTGCCACACCCGCTCTTGCCCTGTAGGCCAAACTGCTGCTCCACATGCCTGACAGCAAGGCCGATCGGTGGGTGTGATGTCCCTTCCTCTTGCCTCCTCTTTCTCCCAGGTCAGAGTTCCTTCCACCCTGGAAGTAGGTAGGTAGCTTCCCACTGAGATTTAAGGCATCCACAGCCAGAGGTGGGCGCTCCAGTAGAGCCACATGCCGCTTACAGGCGGCACAGCCTGGCTGACGTGCCCAGGTCAGAGACACGCCTGCATCCGTGGTCACAGCAGACGGGACGGTTCCCTGAGGGTTCTTCCAGGCCACTGCCGCTCACACCCTCTTCCTGGGCTGTGCAGGGCCCGCGGGATCTGGCTGCTGTTGGCCTTGCAGTCCTCAGTTGCACCCCACATATATTCATTAGTCTGTGCTCAGCTTATGGGAGGGGTATCTCAGAACGCAGTCGCCTCGGAGGAGACAAGATCTTAAAGTGTCAACCAGAAGGCTCTTGTGGCCAGCATGGAGGCCAGGAACTTACTTCCGTTCACTGCTGTGAGACCAGTGCCCTCCCACTCAAAAGGGGACATTTTCCCCAAGCACACTGAGCCTTCGCTGAAGTCAGCGCAAAGCCCTGTGACACCCTGCCAGACTCCGGGTTCCAGGTCCAGCCACACCTCAGCCCCTGGGTCCTTGCTCACACAAACCGCATTTGGGCTTTCACTGCCTCTCAGTGCTGCAGCAGCCTCAGCCTCTAATGAGCACAGAGCCGCGTGTTTTGGAGCATTCGATGGCTTCCGGGACCATCCTGCCCTCCGCCAAGCCTCTGTCATCCCCTAGCCTGGAGGCGTGCCTGGCTGTCTGTCAGGGTCCCGAGACACTAAACCTGTGCACAGAAGCTGCAGGCCTGTGCTCGTCTGGCTTCAGCCCCACAGCCTTCTCTTCCCTTGCTGGGAGCCGGGCGTCCTTGTCTGCTGTTTCCTCTCCTCTGCCTCCTTTGCTTTTTTCAGAAGAGAGCCGCTGGCACACAGAAGGACCTGTGGGGAGGGAGGCCCAGTGAGCAGTGACAGGAGACCTGAGGCAAGAAGGAGCTGTGGGGGTGAAACTGCCCAGGCCCGAGATCCACGGGGTCCTGTATGCCTGAGCTTGGCCTGGCTTCTCCCCTTCCCAAATGGCTTCCACCTGATGTAGTCCAGATCCCCCAGGGGACGCCCACCCCAGTCACTATCCTTGTGAAGGAGCTATGGCCCTAGAATAGCCATATCTAGGCAGCCCCCTCTGACCTTTATCCTGAGTTGGCTGCCAGGGACAGAGGTGCAGGGATCATCCAAGGCAAACCAATTTACCTCTAGGCTCCACTGCCTGATTCCTAGCTCCCAGTAAGAACCACAGTAACGGGGGGGAGGGCTTGGGGAGGAATCCCTTTCTGAGCTGCCCAAGATGGCCGCTCACACTGAGATGGCAGGGAATCCTCTAGGGCAGGGCCACTTGAAGATGCCAACCTTGGCTACTCCTGGAGCTCAGGGTCCTTCTGTGTCTGGTGCCAACCCTGCCTCTGCTGTGGCATTTGTCCTTTCTTGAGTCAGTCATGTGACCTCCCAGGAGCACCAGATGCCCAGACCACCGGTTGGTATGCGTTTTCCTCTGCAATCTGACTATGGGTTTTCTCAAGCTGTCTCCAGGGGAGGGAAGTTTGCTGACAGCTTGGAAGCTCCCAGGGTGTCCTGCTGCCGTGGTGGGAAGGACAGAGTCCTGGGCCTGGCTCCACCACCCCATTCTTTCCTCCTATTACCGCTGGAAACACGGGTTCTGAAGTTGTCACTGTTTACTTGGTCACCGTTCCCTGTGCGAGACCCAGCACAGCCCAGCATGCCTTCACTGTCCACATGCCAACACAGAACAGTGTTAGAGCAGCGGCTGACAGGAGCTGGGATTACCAGAGTGACACACGAACCTCTGCCAGTGTCTTTTCCTTGATGAAAATGTCGTCACAGGCCCTGCCTAGCTGAGCCCTGCTAGTCCTTACCTGGAGAAAGTCCTCCAGTCACACCCAGGCTGGGGGAGCCAGCGCTTTGTCCCACAGTTAAGAGTTTTGCACCCCTGGTAATGCCAATGCCAATGCCTCAGAAAACCCTCTGCAAAAGAGATGTAGAAAATGAGACTCTCTTCTTGGGGTGCCCGTGCCAGCCTGTACCAAGCAGAGCAGAGTGGCTTGTGGTAGCGATGACACCGTGGGAGCCACTTACCAAGTGGCATTCTTTTTCCCTGATGCTGTCCCTAGTTGGCTGTGGAAGGGTGGGGCCTTCCATGGAGGGGGTCATCTCTCCAGAGACCTTTTTTCTTGCTGTGGCCAGTGGTCAGAAGAATAGCCTGTTTGCTGCCCCAGAATCCTGTCTCCCTACAGAAGAGGACACCCTTGTACCTCCAGGGTACACCCGGTTACTCGAATCCCCACACAGCTCAGGTCCTACTCAGCCTTGTCCGTCATCCATCCAGGCTGTGCCGTTCCCCAGAGTCTTGGCCATTCTAGCTCTTGAGTGGGGTGTTCTATATCCTGAACACTCAGCAAGTGGCCTCCCCTCTGTCCACAAGAGCCCATGCCATCTTCCTTTACTCAGCGCAGTGACAGGGACAGCAGGATGAGCTACTTGTAGCATGCATGGTCCCAGGAAGGCAGGTCTTAGTGGAACATATGTTCATTCAGTGCAGTCATGCCAGCCAGGCCCTGCCTAGTGGGAAGAGGGTAGTTGGCTCCTCAAAAGTGGCCTGGAAGCTGGAGACAGAAAAGAGGGTCAAATGCAGGAAAACCTGACCCAGGCAGGCTTACTGGAGGAAGCAGTGTGGGCACTGAATCTGGAGAGACAGGGCTTCTGGATGAAGGATAGTAAGCAGCCTGTCAGTCCCTGGAGAAAACAAGGTGTGTTTTCACTTGGCTCCTGTTCCTGGAGCTCCCAGGAGACCCTGTGTGCTGGCCTCAGGGACAAGGAGTACGGAAGCTCCCAGGCAGCGACCTCGGGGAGAGGGGCTTGGGTGTGGATGTGGGCAACTCTGTGGCCATGGCTGTGTCTCCACCCTGCTGACCCCCTTGCTGTCCCCACCCCCAGCTCTCCTATGTGGACGCTGAAGGCAACCCTGTGGGCGTGGTGCAAATGACCTTCCTGCGGCTGCTGAGTGCCTCTGCCCACCAGAACATCACCTACAACTGCTACCAGTCAGTGGCCTGGCAGGATGCCGCCACAGGCAGCTACGACAAGGCTATCCGCTTCCTGGGCTCCAACGATGAGGAGATGTCTTACGATAACAACCCTTATATCCGCGCCCTGGTGGATGGCTGTGCTGTGAGTATCGCATATGCCAATGATACCACCTTGCATGCCCGCCCCCCTTGGGTGTGCTGCTCACTCAGTGCAAATCTCTGGGGTAGCTTCTGTGTGCCATTCCCAGAGCTGTGTGTTGAGGATGCACTGGAGGCCAAATATGCCCCCAGCCTGGCCTTGTCAGAGTGTGGCTGACTTGGGCAGGTCCGGCTTAGAGTTTAGAGACCTCTCTCTCTCTCTCTCTCTCTCTCTCTCTCTCTCTCTCTCTCTCTCTCTCTCTCTCTCTCTCTCCCTCCCTCTCTCTCTCTCCTCTCTCTCTCTCTCTGTCTCTCTCTCTCTCTGTCTCTCTCTCTCTCTTTGTCTCTCTGTCTCTGTCTGTCTCTCTCTCTTGCTCGCTCTTTCTCTGTGTGTGTGTGTGTGTGTGTGTGTGTGTGTGTGTGCTTGTATATACTAGTGTGTGAGGTACATGTGATTGGCACAAATGATTGTCACTCCTGTAGAATGGCAGGGTCTCTCACTGGCTTTAAGTTGCCAAGTAAGCTAAGCTGACTGGCCAGTGAACCCCAGGAATCGGGCAGCCTTCCCCCACCCCACGCACCCCCAGAACCAAGATTGCCAGCATGTGCCACCATATACAGCTTTATTTTAAGGATTTACTTAATTGTTATTTTATGTGTGTGACACATGTATGTCTGTGTACTGCATGAATTCCTGGTGCCCATGGAGGCCAGAAGATAGCATTGAATCCCCTGGAACTAGAGCCATGGATGGTTGTAAGCCACCATGTGGGTGCTTGGGATCGAACCCAGGTCCTCTGTAAGAGTAACAAGGGTTCCCAGCCACTGAGCTACCTCTCTAGCCTTCATACCCAGCTTTTAAAATGTGGGGATCATATTCTTGTCTTCATGCTTGCATGACAAGCTCTCTACTGACTGGAACATCTTCCCTCCCAGGCCAGAACTGGTCTTCTGAGGGGGTAGACAACCATACTGGGGAGCTCCCTACACAGCTCCAGGGACAGGCTGACCCAGAGAGAGTGTGGGGCTGAAGTGCAAGTTCTCCTGACCATAGCCTACATTGACCATCTCCATGTGGGAGAGCTGTTCTAGTCGCAGCCCCAAACCTCATTGTGAGCCGTGGCAGCCACAGCATCTCTGGATGCAGAGGCAATTGTGGGACAGGGAGAAGCAGCCCCCACTCTGTTTTACTCCTGAAAAGAAAAGATCCTGCCTGGGAAGAGGTGGGGGGGGGGAGTAATGGCTCAGAACGGAATAACCCGCTGATGGAAAAAAATTGGCTCTGTGTACTAGGAGGGAATTCAGGGAGAGGGAACAGACTGGCGGGACTGTGGTGGCTCCAGGCACCACAGGGGAGCAGTAGGCAAGGCTGACTGGAGTGGCCAACATGCTCTCTGCCCCCAAGACCCTGAGAAGTCCGGCCGTGATTTGAAAGGTCACGATTCTCGCATTCAATTGCAGGGCTCCTTCAGGAGGCTTTAGTCCTCCACACGCAGGCCAGTGGTGCCGAGGCCTGCCCAGCCCTGGGAGGCCGGCTTGATTCATTCTGTAATCACAGCCACTGAAATTGGAATTGCGACGCTGGCACTGTGTGGCTGGGTAGCCTGATTGACGGGGCTGCCAAGCGGCCGGCCCTGCAGAAGGGCCAGGAGTCACTCTACATCAGTCCTGTTGTTTGTGCAGCTTTGTGCGCCCCTGGGGGGCCGTTGCTGGCTGGCAATGGTTATTTATGTCTCTTCTTTAAATACGCCCCTCTCTAAGCACTCTGATAATTGGAGCAACGGGGCCCCACAAATCCATGTGAAATCGCCTGCCAGCTCCACACACGGTGGTCCCCGGGGTGGGAGAGAGAGAGGCCCACTCCATGCTGATGCCGTAAAGGGAGGAAGTGGGGCCTGGTGTAAGCCTGCGGGCTCATGACTCACTGGTACACAAAAATGGAGACCCCGTCACTGACCTCACGTGGCTTCCCAAGACTATACCACCGTCCAGGGTCTCGAAGAGGCCATGCTGATGACCTCATGTGAGTCTGGGTCCAGGAGCCGAGCCCAGGACCCAGGGGTAGCTGGTTCTGGCTCCCTGGACTGGCTACGAGGGTGAGGGTCTCAGCCATCCCACAGCTAGCTTCGTGGGTATGTAAGTCCAGCCCCTGAAGATAGCCAGATTTTCCCCCTTCCTTTCTTTTCTTTTCTTTTTTGCTTTGTTGTTGTTGTTTGTTTGTTTGTTGTTTGTTTATTTGTTCTTGAGACAGGGTTTCTCTGTGTAGCCCGAGCTACCCTGGAATTTAGTCTGTAGACCAGGTTGGCCTTGAATTCACAGAAATCCTCCTGCCTCTGCCTCCTGAGTGCTGGGATTAAAGGCGTGGGCCGCTGTCTCTGTATTTCTCTGCTTTTATGTTTTCTATGTGTGTGGTTACATACTTGTGCATGTTTTTTCATGTATAAGCACACATCCGGGTGCATGGGCACTTGTGTATACACACGCACGTGAGCGTATTAGAGACTTGACGGTGGAGTCTGTTGGGAACCCTGGATCTTATTCATCAGGGCAGTGTCTCCCAATCAAATGCAGAGCTCACTGATAATGGCTTGTCTTGCTAACTAGCTTGCTCTGGGACTCCATCTCTGTTTTCCAAAGCCGGAATTGCAGGTGAGCTGCCACATTTATGTGTGTTTCTGAGGATTCAAACTTCTCTTCATATCTGCATCGAGAACACTTTTCACTGCTGAGTCATATCTCTAGCCCCCAGATATATCACATAAGTTCCAGGCATGTCCACGGAGGTGGAAAGGTATGGCCATCCCTGGCCAGGTCAGCCCTCAAACTGAACCATATTCCACATTCTGAGTGACCAGTATCTATGCAGGACTCCTGGTGGCAAGTTCTTTCAGTTTCTCAGGAGACAGCCAGAAGACTATAAATGATAAAAAAAAATCACCCAAGCCTCCCATTTGAAGAAAATTTCCAGATTCTGAATTCACCCCAAGTCAATCTGCCTGGGCAGAGCCTGCAGTATTCAAATGCTCCACGGCATCTGTATGTCCCTAGCCTGGCTTTGAGCACAAGACAGGGGTGTCTTGTCGGGACAGCTGTGGGTGGGTGAGGTCTGGGCCAGTGGAAGTTAAAGCAGTGAAGACAGGACACTCTTGCCAGGTGGAGAAGGTGCTGTCCTCCTCCCCACACACCCCTGCAGTCTCAGCAAGCCTTCCACATTCCAGCCCAGGCCCTGCGCCATCGTGGCCCCTGTATGCTTCAGCTTACCCAATTCACTCTGGAACAGTAGTGTGGAAGGTTCCCTTGCCTGCCCATACCTGTGGAGGGGCTTGGAATGGCAGCAGAGCTCCACCTGCCTCTCTTGTGTGAAGAAGTCCCATCACATCTCTGCTTGGCCATGTCTCTTCCAACTTGATGTTCTTGGTGACGCCAGTGTTGGTGGAGCCTTGGGGCAGAGGGGGACCTGGGTGAGGGGTGATGGGTTAAGCACTTTAACCACCCTAAGAGGCCCCCAGCTTTAACTGCCTCTGCCTTCTTCCCCCTTCCTAGACCAAGAAAGGCTACCAGAAAACGGTGCTGGAGATCGACACCCCCAAAGTGGAGCAAGTCCCCATCGTGGACATCATGTTCAACGACTTTGGTGAAGCGTCACAGAAATTTGGATTTGAAGTGGGGCCAGCTTGCTTCCTGGGTTAGGAGCTGCTGAGCCCACCAGTCTTCAGAGCAACCTCGTGACCTCAGCACCCCACCTGTGGGTGTCCTGTGCACGGCCCATCCTGGACAGTGAACATTTCTCACCCCTGCCTGCCTGACTCATCTGTGCCTCGGACCCTCCGTGGCATTGGACCCCACACCAAGAGAGAACAAAGGGAAAGAGCCGTGTCCCCACGGAGCCGAATCACATGACCTAGCCACACCACAGCCTCTTGCAACACTGCAGGCCCTGGTCCCCAGCTCTCCTGATAGGTTCATCAAAGGTGTTCATGAACTGTTGGCCGGGAGTCAGGGTGGGGCAGTATTTGGAAATCACTTTTAAAAAAAAATCAACTTGAAGATATGTATTTCCCTTGACCTTCAAAAGATGTTCTAAGGTGGTCTTGTAAAGGTCGCCAAAACCTTCTTTTTTAAAAAACAACCCTCAATAACATCCACTCAGAGGCCAAATGTCATTCCACGTGTGTGCCTTTCCGATGGATTAAAGGTGCTTATGTTTTTGTGAGAGTTTTAAGTAAATATTTGTATTGTATTGTTATAAATGTTAAGTGTGCCTGGCTTTCAATCTTGCATGGAATCCCAGCCTCAGGCCCGTGGGGAAAGTGGGCGGCTGGGATGGGGCACCAGCTTAGGCTTGCAATCAGGCTCTCCGGTAGAGGGCATCTCCTCACTTCTCGCCCTGCCCCCAAGAACGTGCAATAAATTGGAAATCTGCTTAGTCAGCAAGAAGCTGCATTGCCACTGCAGGTGTCTGGGCCCCTTTCCAGACTTTTAATTATTTTTTTTCTTTTTGATTAGCTCTGGATAATTTTTTTATGGGGAGGGGGATAAAAAGGCATTCGGGATCCTGCCTCTTCTACATGCACTCAGATTAAAACACGGGCTTAAATTAATCCTGATTGCTTCCTTTTTCCGTGTTCCTTCCTGCAGAGGCTGATGGGACAGTGTCCAGGGCTGGAGAACCACGTGTTCTGTAGATGATAAATAACTATGAACATTGGTGCTGATTTTTTTTACACTTGTCTCTTGTGGTGCTATGTGTCCTAGAGGCAACAT